AAGTGGTGGCCTGAGATGCAAGTTAAATTTGTTTCATGACTACGCGGGATAATTTCTAAACACTTGTATCTCAAATCATCTGTCACCACGGAACTGGGTGTAACTGTCAATTTCAAGCATGTCAAATATAAAAATGTTATTGTGACGCCACCACGTGGCAACTTTAGGCAATTTCGAACCTTTTTGGGTGCGTCTCAATTACCACTTGCATTTGGCTGTTTTTAGTCAGGTTGACATGAACTCGAAGAATGTGTTCGGGCAACCGCGACTGAGAGCATCCCTGAGAGACCTGCGCTCTCCACGGCGGAACTACAAGAGCACCATCGAGGACGATCTGAAGAAACTGATCATCATGGACAACCCTGCAGAGTCTCCGCAGCGGGATCCAGTGAGGACCACACACTCCTGCACACAGTTAGACCAAGACGTAAGATATTATGCAAAATGTGTCTCTTGTAAAATAGCTTCCGCTCACCTGTCACCTCCACCGCGGGGGCATTATTGAGTACGGCTACAATTTTGCATATACTGATTGCTATTGTGACTCTGTTCTCTCCTGCAGTCCCCCAGGCGCACGTTGCAGCGCACCTTTTCCGACGAGTCTTTGTGCAGCGGTCGCAGGGACGCCAGCTTTGCCAATTCTGAAAACCAGTCGACCCCCATCGACGTGCTCTTTACGTGCACTTTGCCCATACGCAAGCACTCCACCTCCTCCACCCACGGACAGCCCAACAAGGGTGAGTTGCACTAGTTTCGTGCTTACACAGTTTGTTGTACTCACTACAACCATTTCCCTTCAGTGCCGCTGTCTGCATCAGAACTGTCCCTAACTGAGGTGAGAGACAAAGTCTCCACACTGAGGAGGCTAGATCCCGGACTCATGCCCCTGCCTGACACGGCTTGTGGACTGGAGTGGTCCAGCCTGGTTAATGCTGCCAAAGTCTATGAAGGTGGATATTACCAACTAAATTTATCACTGGTGGACAACACTGTGAACGTAAGAGTCCAATCAATCACATGGTTTCTGCTTTCAGCACAAAGAGCCGTGTCACTCTTCTCGCTGACCGAAACACTAGGAGGCGGTGTGGACATGAGGCCTGCCAGCAGTCCTGTGCAGTTTCCCACTCCTCAGACGCCACGGACCACACCCACCTTCAGCAGGTACCTTACATTTCGAGACATTGCTTATGCCCGTCCCACACACACTTATCTTGTTGACCTTCAATGTGATGTGCACCTTATTTATTTATTCATGTATTTATTTGTTTATTTGCAGCGACGAGATACCCAACGAGTTGTCAGGGCGTCTCCACCATCTGGAGGTGATGTTGAAACAGCTCAACGATGACCTAGAAAGAGTGAGTCAATCACCCTCTTGTTTTGTGTTTTTAACAGGATTGTTGTTTGCTTAGTTGGTGCACGAAAAATCTTCACCAGTCCACAGTGAAAAATGACCATTTTTGGGAGCGGTGCCTTGAATTGCGATTTAATTGGTTCCTCAAAACTCTCAAATCTTTCCCCATTGAGATGAATGGAAATGCCATTTGTCTGTTCAAGCGCCCATGGGTCAAAGAAAACCCATAAAAACAAACGACAGAACATTTTGTAATGTATCGTTAATAAGAAAAATAGCACTCCTACCAGTATTGTACGGTATATTTTATAAAAACATTCATTGATGACATGATAAATAGAATATAAAGAATTGAATCACAAATTTATGCATCATGATTTCATGCATTAAAGCAATGATCCTCCACTTTTAGTGAGCCAAGGCACATTCTTTGAACTCGAAAAATAGCACCGCACACTACCAAATAAAATTGTCACCAAAAGAGGATATATATGTCAATTTCATACTTTTTGCCATCTAATACAATATCATGTATTTGTTCTTTTTGTCACTATAAGTTGCTGGCATAGCTAGATGGACAAAGATACATTATTTCTTGTTAGTAAATAAATTTCTCACCAATTAGTAAAATGTTATCATTGACCGGGGCAGACCGTTAGACCTCTCATGGCACACTGGTTGGGAATCATTGCATTAATATATTGTGCTGCTTCATCTGGTGTGCGCATATTGGCCACCAGGGGGAAGCGTAAGGCTATGTTGAAACTGCGACTCAATTCTGATTTTTGTTTTTGCCAATATGCTCCACATATCAGATTTGTTTTCATGCAGTGTGAACAGTAGAATTGTGAGCTTTTTTCTCAAATCCGATCTGGGCCTCTTCCGTATGTGGATATAAATCAGATATGTATGCGATGCGTTTGCAGATATGAACCGCACACATCCGACCTCTATATTATCAAAAGCCCAATATTTCCTCCACGTTGCTTCTGCAGGAGAACTCGCATTTGTTTTGTAGCGTGAACAAGTACTTAAAGATAAGATTTAACAAAAAAAAAATCTGAATTTGGCATCACGCCCTGCGGTGTGCGCATAGCCTAAAACATACAGCTCACTAAATGTGAATTTGATGGCGAAACACAGATGTCTTTGCTCGAGGATAAAGAATATATGCTTGTGAATCTTGTGTGCTGTTTGCATGTGTTTCTACCACTTGTGTTCAACTATAAATTGTTTTAAGGCTTAGAACTACCGCAATAGGATTTTAAATTCAAATTATGTTGGCTGGTTAAATACACATGATCTTTGATATAAAATAACCTGTGATGGCGATGGGTATAGTGGGAGAAAAAACTCCCGGGTGTAGCCCTCATCACCCCCAGAACTCGAACTGAGTGAGAAACACATCTATGTCATAAATTCAATCAAATGATTGAATGAGAAACAACACTATCGCTTACATGTGTCATCTGTCGTGCTGTAAAGGAAAGGCCAGTATGATACCCTTGCATATGTGTTGTCTCAGGAAAAGCACGACAAGGTGGCACTCATGGCCGAGATGGCCAACCTGCGCGAGAACAACCAACGCCTGCAGGAGGAGAGTGTGACAGCCAGTGAGCAGCTGCGCAAGTTCAACCGACTCTTCGGCCACTTGGGCGAGAGCGAGCACGCCGCACACCCCGCCGTGCACCAGACGCCACCCAAGAGGGAATGAACATAACTGGACTGCCTTAAAACTGGAAAGATTTCCCACCTCACACTTCAACCCCGCCCCATCCCTCTGAGCCTCTTATTTTTCTAAATCTTCTATGGTTTCTACGTTCGAGGAGACTGTTTGAATCACCCGGAGAGGCCTAAACACTGTTCCTGCAAGCCAGTCAGCCAAAAACACATGATAGACTACAATTCCCATGATGCACTTGAAGTCCCGCAAGCGTTCCACAGTCTTAAGTACTGTACATATGAAGCCTGTAAGGTACACACTCGCATATCCCTGTAATCTATATTGTATTGATATTGTTGAACTACGAAAGTGTGTGTGGGTGTGTGTTTATATGGTGACAAGTGGGTGACGAGCAATCTAGTTTACGGAAGACTCGTGGCCTCTCATCGTTTACACTGAGGACCTTTAGTACTGGACATATTTGTATACAAATGCATACAGACTTCCCCGAGGTGGCGGCGGCGGTAGTAAAAGCGTTTCAAAGAAAACACTGAGCAGCGCCTCCAGAACCCAACTGCAAACACGTATTTTTTTTCGCTCCTTGGCTAGCATTTTCTATACTTTTGAGCACGAATGAGCCTATTAAGCATTGAGCTAATAGCACCAAAGCTAAGTGGTCAGGGACAGTCTAAAATGCTTAACGTTTCTTGCTAATCTCGTCACAATTTTCATCGCTACAGTCATGTCGCCACAAAGCTAAGTAGACTAGTTTGAATGTTTTTCTATTGCTTTGCGCGCTAACTGGCTGTGAGGTTAATTAGCATTTCCTACTATTGATCTTTTTTCTCATTGCGTTGACATGTCAGCATAAAGCTTAAGTGGATGACTTTTAACGTTTTTGATGGCAACTGGCAGCTTGGCTAACTCCTTAATATCTCATCCTTCTTTTACCGTAACGAGAAGTCAAGTGGTTGACTTTTAGGTTCTTCTATACCTTTGAGTGAGTGCTAATTCTTTCCCCATGTGTCCTTTATTGTCATTGAGCTAGCACAACGGCAAAAACCATATTGGTGACTTATTTTTTTTCCCCCACCAGCCTCTCTTGACGTCCTACTAAAAACGACATGTTCTTTCTCCTATCCCAAAAATGCATATATATTTTATTCCCAAAATTCCAAGCTATTTCTATACTTGTCTTGGGGGGGAAAAATAACTCAAAATTATGCTTCTCTTATCATTTACTGTACACGTAGGGTGACAAAATGGCCCCCTTCTGTCTGTGGAAAAAAAAACAAACATTTATATATTATAAATCTATTTTTCATACAGTAAGACAAGTTTGTGCTTTGTGGCTGCCGGTACTTTTTGATAACTCCGTTAAAAATGTTTGCGATGACTGGAACTGTTTGAATACTAGGCTCAGGTTCCTTATGATGCTGGACCTACACGCAACACCATCACAGGTACTGTTTGAAGAAAAAAAAAACTAACAAAAATGCATAATTGCTTCTTACTCGCCATTGCAGCTTTCCCTTTAAAGCTTCTTCTAGCTGGAATTTAGTAAAGTTGAGTTTGCCTTTTGTGGAGAGGATTGATGATGACCCGAGTGAAGCCACAAGTGGCCCCCTTAAATCAGGGGTGGGCAACCTAATCTGGCCCATCATGCAATTCTAAAAAACTCAGAGGAACTGAAAAAGCCCAATTGCATTTAAATCACATGGTCACCATGAACAAGTTCTGGTTCCCCACCCCTGTTTTAAACTCTGGACGAGAAGTCACACTCTTCTCTTTTCCCTCCATTCAGGTGTCGACAAGTCTTGTTTTTGTCATGTAAAAACAGTGTTTTGTTTTAATGTATAACAAAGCTATTTATAGCCTCCAGTGATCCATGTTGAACAAATCAGTAATGGTAATATTGTACAATTTTTCTTTTTTATATGTTTTGATAATTTATTTGTTGTAACGCATACAAGAGTGATGATGTGAAAAGAGGGTACTATGTTTTATTAGATCATCTTAATTCTTCTGTTTGCTCTGGGCTGTAATAAGTGTACATTGAAAGTGTAAATTATGTTTTCATTTTATAAAAAAAAAATACAATTCATTCTCAAATTTTTGTATGAATTTCCATTGCTCTGTGACAGACATCGGCTAAATCTCATTTGCAACCTGCCTGATCCTTTTCTGTGAAGTCAGCTCCTCTTGCCAAAGATGTGACTGTTCCGAAAACAAGAAGGGCCAAGGCTGGGGGGGAACAACCAAACATGGTCACATCGGTGGGCAAATTCATGGCCGCTGCAATAATTGCAAAGACATCAATTGTCACTCAATGCCACAAAGCCATCCATGCAAATCATCGGAGTAAGAGGACTCAGCTGGTCAAAACAAGGCGCCTGCCAGTGTCGACATTTTCATTCATGGCCGTGCTGGCCCTAAACAAAAGTTTGGTAGGTGTGCAAAAGGTGCCACATCACCCAACGAGCTCAAAGTATTGTACTAAATGTCCTGCATTTCCTGAGCAGTTGACATTGGAGCAGTCCCACTCCTTTGAATGATTCGCGTATCAATCTAACTGTTGCCAGCTTAGAGGAACAATGAACGTTGCAATTGAGAGACTGCGATCCATCCAGTGGTAAATATAAACAATTTATTTCATTCATAATGAGCATATTAACACTGAAGAACAACACCGATCTCGTTGGAACAAAACTGCTGGAGTTGAATAGAAGCAGATTGGAGGGATTGTTCAAGAGCCGCACATGACGCACTCGTCTCTGTTTTCCAAGGAGCACACCATGGCAGCCTTGTTGCGTTCCTTGGAGTCTTGCTCTGAGGTTTTCTCCGGAGTGCCGTTGGTCAAGGTAGACCCCTCCTTTAGCTTCTCCTTGTCCAGTGTGAACTGGATGGGGTTGGCGGCAGGCTTGGTGCGGAGGTAGTACATGCCTGTCTTCAGACCCTGAGACCAGATGGATGACAAGCAGGCATTTTAAAGAAGTTAATACTTTTTGTGCCTGTTCCATTTAGTTGTGTCCTGTGCTACAATGACAAAACAATTGTTTCTTTTCTATCCCAGGACTGGCCCTTCTGTTTTAATCAAACAAGAACTCTGTCCGAATCACAGACACAGGGGTCATTTGTCGGAGAGCGGTGTAAATCTTCGTTCTGCATCATGACATGTACCTGCTTCCAGCCAAAGAAGTGCATGCTGGTCAGTTTGCCGTAATTGGGCTCTGCGATGTGGATGTTTAGCGACTGGCTCTGGTCAATGTAGGCACCTCGGTCGGCGGCCATGTTAAGCACTGTCTTCTGGGAAATCTCCCACACAGTCTTGTATAGCTGCTTAAGGTCATCTGGGATTTCTGCGATGTCCTGGAGAGGGAATACCCAAGATTTAGGATTAGGAATACAATCATCACCCATTAGACTGCAGATATTTTTTTTGTCCTTTTTCTGTATTTACAGATGATACGTAATACAACAGTAGGTAATACTTCATGGTCACCCTACCTGTACGGATCCATTGTGAGCAATTAGCTGGTTCTTCATGTCCTCGCTCCATAGCCCCCTCTCAGTGAGATCCTTCAGTAGGTGCGGGTTGACGCACTGGAACTCGCCGGAGAGCACCCTGCGTGTGTATATGTTGCTGGTGTACGCCTCAATGGACTCGTTGTTGCCAAGGATCTGCGCAGTGGAGGCGGTGGGCATGGGCGCCAGCAGCAGGCTGTTTCTCACACCGTGCTTGGCGATCTTCTCCTTGAGTAATGTCCAGTCCCACAGCGGCGTGGGAATCCGCTGCCACATGTCATACTGGAGGATCCCCTTGCTGACAGGAGAGCCCGGGTACGTCTCGTAGGGGCCGTGCTCAGCGGCCAGCTCGCAGCTGGCCTCCAGCGCGGCGTAGTAGAGAGTCTCGAAGATCTGAATATTGAGTAGTTGCGCCTCGGGGCTCTCAAAGGGCTGCCGCATGAGAATGAAGGCGTCGGCCAGCCCCTGGACGCCGATGCCAATGGGCCGGTGGCGCATGTTGGAGCGCTGCGCCTCAGGCACCGGGTAGTAGTTGATGTCGATGATCCTGTTGAGGTTCTTGACGATGACTTTGGTGACGGCCGCCAGCTTCTTGAAGTCGTATGTGCGCTCGGGGGTGACGTACATGTTGAGCGCCACGGAGGCTAGGTTGCACACGGCCACCTCGTCCTGGCTGGTGTATTCGACGATCTCCGTGCACAGGTTGCTGCACTTGATGGTGCCCAGGTTCTGCTGGTTGCTCTTGCGATTGCATGCATCCTTGTAGAGCATGTACGGCGTGCCCGTCTCTGTCTGAGACTCGATGATGGCGTACCACACCTGCTGGGCTTTCACCACCCGCTTGACCCGGCCCTCCTTCTCATAGCGTGTGTACAAAGCCTCAAACTCATCACCCCAGCACTCGTCCAGGCCAGGGCACTCATTTGGACACATGAGCGACCAGTCCTGGTTGCTCTCTACCCTCTTCATGAACAGATCTGGGATCCAGAGACCGAAGAACAGGTCACGGGCGCGCTGCTCCTCTTTGCCTGTGTTCTTCTTCAGCTCCAGGAAGTCGAAGATGTCAAAGTGCCACGGCTCCAGGTACATGGCGAAGGCGCCGGGCCGCTTGTTGCCTCCCTGGTCCACGTAGCGCGCCGTGTTGTTGTAGACACGCAGCATGGGCACCAGGCCGTTGGAGTTGCCATTGGTGCCGGCGATGTAGCTGCCAGTGGAACGGATGCAGCTGACCGCCACGCCGATGCCACCTGCCGATTTGGAGATGAGGGCACACTGCTTGAGCGTGTCGTAGATGCCATCGATGCTGTCGTCCTTCATGGCTAGCAGGAAGCAGCTGGACAACTGTGGCCGGTTGGTGCCAGCGTTGAAAAGAGTGGGTGAGGCGTGCGTGAACCATCTCTCTGAAAGCAGGTTGTACGTCTCAATGGCGGCATCCACGCGCGCGCCGTGGATGCCCACCGCCACCCGCATCAGCATGTGCTGCGGGCGCTCTGCCACCTTGCCGTTGATCTTGAGCAGATAGGAGCGCTCCAGGGTCTTGAAGCCAAAGAAATTGTAGGAGAAGTCGCGGTCGTAGATGATGGCCGAGTTCAGGCGGTCCTTGTGCTCCAGGACAATGTCCAGCGTCTCCTTGGAGATCATAGGCGAATGACGGCGATTGAGCGGGTTGACGTAGTTGAAAAGGTCCTCCATGACATCGCTGAACACCTTCTTGGTCTCCTTGTGCAGGTTGGAGACCGCGATGCGCGCTGCCAAGATGGCATAGTCGGGGTGCTTGGTGGTGAGCGTGGCGGCGATCTCGGCCGCCAGCGTATCCAGCTCCACCGTGGTCACACCACTGTACAGGCCCTGGATCACCTTCATGGTGATCTGAGCCGGGTCCACGAAGTCCGGGTTGAGGCCATAGCAGAGCTTCTGGATGCGCGAGGTGATTTTATCGAACATGACGCGCTCTTGGCGGCCATCTGGAACACAACCATACAGTCGCCGTTACAACCAACAATTAGAAACTTTGCATTTCCCCATCTTTGTAGTTTTGACAACGGTTTTATTGAAAGTATTCTAATGCAGTTTTTAAGATGTTACAGTTTACCATTTTAAAATGTGTACTGTATATAATCGATCATTTTGGTTTTATACATCCATCCACCCCCCACCCAACTCTGTTACATAGTCATTTGTCGTATGTGGAGTAACAATATTAGCACCATTTGCCTTGATTGAACACATTGGTTAATCTAAAGTAAATTTTCGTAGACATGGGTCCTGTCAGCCTCAGGGTACACAAACTCTGGAATATAGTCGATTTTTTTTGTTCCATTTATCGCGTGTTATTAGGGGTCATTTAGGGGCATTGGGGGGAAAAATGGGGTGAAAGAATGACATTCAGAGCAGGCATGTACGGCAAAACTGTAAGCAAAATTCTGGTTCAGTGTGCGCATGCGCTTCTTTACATAAACAGTTTGGCGCCAAATTTTGACAAAGGCATCGAGGAAAATTAGTGTAGAACGGCGCAGTAACGACATATTACATCAACTTCTGTACGACTGTATCGTTTATAAGTTGTTGGTTGGTTTTTTTTCAACCGAATATGCCTGCTGAGCTTCATTTAACCCAACTAGAGAACTCAAATTGGCTATTGTGTACTGCTTACGAACACTGTGTACACTCTACAAACTCGAGTTTGTCCCGCGTGACAACACTGCTTAATCGCGAAGGTATAACACCACAAAATGTTTTTTTTTTGTCTTGTAACAAGAAAATTAGTGAGGATATGAGCGACGAGAAGCGGAAGGCCTCGAGAGACAGCAGCTAAACCGTCCGGTTGGCACTCACCTCTCTTAATCACATGCATCTTGGCAGCGTGTGGTTTAGTTGGTCTTCCCACAAAGCGACTCTTAATCGTCCTTTCCGCGGCGTCAACGTTTCTGCCGCTGAGTGTCGTGAGTCTTTGTCCAGGAGACAGCGCGGGAAGAAGTAGCCCCTGATCCGTAAAACTCCCGGTGACGGTATATTTGTAGAGATGGGAAGGGAAACCAGGTTTGACACATTGTCCAATCGGCATAGAGAAAGGCATTGTTCGTAACACGTGAGCGCCAATCAGAAAGGCTTTCCTGTTCGACAAGCACATTCACCAATCGGCATCCAGAAAAGGGCGGTTCTTAAAACAGATGAGCCAATCAGAACCTGTAAAAGTGTCTTGTTCCGGTTGTTTTCCCGGATTAAATTATGGCGGGATTGAAAAAGTAGGTCAAAATCAAAATGGGAGGGGAAAAGAAAACCGGAAATGTGTTGTGGCGTAATTATTACTTAAAATAAAATTGAGGGAAGTCAGGGAAATGTTTACATTAAATGTTTATCTGTGAGGTCAAAATGCAGTCCTTAAATGCGCGTTTTCGGTTGTCAATCAATTATTGTTAAAGACTAGGGTTCTCAAATTTTTACTCCCAAGTACAAACTAAAAGGTTCTTTATCTCTGTTCATAAAAATACTTTTATATCAAAAAAGTATTTTTAATATTATTATTCACCACTGTAATATTCGGTACAGGTTGAACATTGAGACTGTGTTTAAACATCCATCCATCCATTACTGTATCTGATCTCGTATCCTCACAAGGGTTGCGGGCGTGCTGGATCTTATGACAGCTGTCTGTGGGTGGGAGGCGGGGTACACCTGAACTGGTTACCAGCCAATCGTAGGGAACACAAAGACAAACAATCATTTAAACTCACAATCATACAAGTGTGTTAAGAGTGTTCCATTTACCTACCGTTCATGTTTTCGGAATTTGGGAGGAAACCGAAGTACCCGGAGAAAACCCACGCAGGCACGGGGAGAACATGCAACTCCATGAAGAAGGCCGAGGTCGGAATCGAATCCTGCACCTCTGCACTGTGAGGCGGATGTGCTAAACAGTCTGCACCGTGCGATGACCTGCCTGTCCCTATGTGACACTGACGGGCATTGCATTATTATTATTATTAGTAGTAGTAGTAGTAGTAGTACGAGTACTAGTAATAGTAGTAGTTAACCATAACCCTGAAAGGAAAAGATTTTAAAGTGTATTGTACACCTACTTTTGGCAAACCATGTATAAAGTAGTAGTAAGATTATTTTGTTGTTGTTTGTGTGGTTAAATGACACATTTAAATCCGTGTCATTTTTTAAAATTATTTTGTGTTCCACATATGACAACAGTGACATGTACAGATATTAACACCTGTCTCAGGTTACAGTTCCCTTACAACTTGCGTACCAATGCCAATGAGTATATTTTCAAATCTAATTCAACAGTTCTGAGATAGGAAAATTTAGGATTGGTATTAGTCCACCATACGTTCGCATCGCTGAACGTGACTGTGTAAAAGCAATACGACGACAACAAAAATATAAATGGAAAAAAACACAATAAAACAAAACAGAAATCTGATATAACGTGTCGGATTTCTTGATCATCATAAAACGGTAAAGCGAGGCTTCACTGTTTATTTTATTCGTGTTTAAATCGGTCAGGAGGTGCAGGCAAAGTATAGGCCTACTATGTTGATGAAAAACAGAAGTAAACGCCATTTGGGAACGAAACGCAACCAATGGTTTAGATATAAAACTGGAATTAGGCCAAAGCAAACAAATGTTTAAGTATAAAATTGGAACTGGGCCAAATGAAATTGAAGGAAAATGTGTCATGTTGCATTCGTTAATGAACCTGATAAAAAATGAATTGCGTCAATGCGACCTACACTTGCATACCAAATGGAGGCGCTAGTGCGCAGAAAATGTTGATAATAAACGCCATTTAGAAAAAGTCACAACAACCCGGAAGTGGCCATATTTTAAATACCTGCGCTAACCACAAAACGAGTTGCATTTTATTAGTTTTTTTTTTGTGAATAATTAGCAAGGCGATAATAATGTATCATGACGAGAAGGTTGCGAGGTTGCGTTCCCTTCAAAAGAGCATGTTTACAACATGTTCTGTGAACGTAAACCTCAGTGCTTCAACGACGTAAAGCTTGTTCCAACAAATCATGCCCCGCCTCTTGTGTTACTTGCCCCCCCATCACGTGTTCCATCCACGGACACGTAGTTGTTTGACTTGGAGCCCGTGGATAAGAAAACCTCCGCAGCCGCTCTTATGTCCAAGTCCTCCCGGCGGCAGATGCCCCCGCGGCAGAGCAACGACTGTGACCGGCTGAAGCGGTTGTGCCTCCTCGGTTTGTTGGTGGCCGCGCTGGTGCTGGCGCTTTACCTGATCAACGTCCCCAATGCGAAGCGAGTCCAGGTTGCAGATCTGAACAAAGATAAGGTGAAACGATTGGGGGCAAAACACAAGAACCTCTCACTCTTGTAGAGGAACATTAGGATGGTTCTGTCAAGTAATTTCAAACATACAATGTGTCTTTACATACACTGGAGAGTTCACTTTGAAGCTTATGTAAAATGCACTATGGCTCCTATATGTGACCTAAACATATAATGCACGTCATCTTTTCAGTCTGTATTTATTTTTTTGCACGACTTGCTGTTCTCCACGAAACGGCAAAATTCACAGCAGGTGCTTGATCAATGAAAGGACGAGTAATACATGTCCTGGTTTAAATACAGTACAATTGTTATTTAAACGGTCTTTGTCTTTGGGTGATTATGTTGTGTTTTCATGAAGAGACCAAGATGTAAGAGTCAACAAGTACATTGACGTGGAAAAGCTGTTAGCAGTATGAGCCTCACGTCATGAGGTTTCAACAGAGACTTGAAAAGTCACACACCCTTGGAAAATTTCAAGAACCGAACACCTATTGTGAATTTTGCAGAGCAGCAACATGTTATATAAAACAGCAAGTTGTGCAAAAATTACCGAAACATTAAATAGTTGTTACGTTTACACATTCAAAAATGTTTAGGTCAAATTAATTTAACCTTAAGAGGTTTTACTGTAGAATGACAATGCTTGAAAAAAAAAGAACCTATATCTTACGTTCATAAAAGTAACTACATATATACTTATAGTGACAATGTTTTCATCTGTCACTTGATTCCATACATGAGCTTTTGGGGTTTATTTGAAAAACTAATGCCAAACTGTAATAACTAAACTAAAACTCGAAAAAATAAAAACTAACAAACTTAGTCTAAAATTAAGTAAAACTAACTAAATAAATAAAAGCTTGAATTAAAAACTAGACTGAAAAATCCAAAAATATTATAAATCTGTTTGTAAGTAGTGTATTATCTTTGCCCAACTGAGATAATTGTCGCGCATTCTTATTATTGTGCAGAAATAATATAGAAACAACAAAGTAAAAATTTTAAAAAAGCAGCATTGAAGAGGACTTCCTGAAATTTAAATGTAATTAAAACAAGGAAAAAAATGAAGATTATGACGTTGCATTTTGGTATGTGGTAAGTGATAACTGACAAGAAGGTGATATTGTCCGGTCGAGGTCGGTTTTTGGATCACGGTTTGGTACGTTTTTTTCAGTACGCTTTTGTGCATATGAGAACTTTTTTTTCTTAAAATTCACTCTTTTGCTATGCAGGAAAAACATTTTTACTATTGCATTCTTAGTGTACTGTATAATTTAACTTATTTCAAGTTAACCTTGATTCAAACAACACTTTTGAATGGTAAGCCGTGTCTTACAGGGTTATGCAAGTCCATCTGATTCTTCGAGTATTCGATAGAATAGTGGTTAGGAAAATAAATTGTAAAAAGATTTGATGGTAAGCCACCTATTGTACAGTGGTTAGACGTATTTATCTCACTGACATTGGACAGTTGTTTTATACAGGTACATGAATTAACGGTATCCCTTTGTTAAGTACATTTCATCTGACATTGTGGAATTTGAAGTCATATTTTATCACCTTTCCAGTGGTTCCACAAGCCCACCAAGTACACTGCGTCTCAAATCCACCAGCTGGCCTCCCAAGTGGATGGAAGTCGCCTGTGGGAGGTTCACCTGAGGCCTATCCTGATAAAGAGGCTGCCCGGGACTCAAGAAAGCAAGTTTGTGCGGCAGGTAAACCTCATTGGATTTATTTCGTGTGTTGTAATCTGTAATTTAGTTCTAGAGATCATTTTTACAAACCCAATTCCAATGCAGTTGGGATGTTGTGTTAAACCTAAGTAAAAACAGAATACTTACATCATGTTCAACCAATATCGAATTGAATACACTCCAATTTTAAGATATTTCATGTTTAAACTGATAAAAACTTTTTTGTTTTTAGCAAAGAGTCATTAACTTAGAATTTTATGGCTGCAACACCTTCCCAAAAAAAGCTGGGACAAAAGATTGAAGTTGAGGAACTATGATATTGTAACAAGTTCCAGAGAATGTGGAAGAATCACTACGTGTAAACGGCAAGGCTGAAAACCAACATCGAATGCCCCGTAACCTTTGATTCCTCAGGGCGACACTGCATCAAAAACTGACGTCAATGTGTCAAGGATATCACCACCTGGGCTCAGGAACACTTCGGAAAATTAATGTCAGTAAATAGTTTACTGGACACCTGATACACCGCCAGTTCTCCAGGTCCGAGCTCATCTAAGACGAACTGATGCAAAGTGAAAAAGTGTGCTGTGGTCTGACGGGTCCACATTTCAAATTATTTTTTGGAAATTGAGGACGTCGTGTCCTCAGAGGCAAAGAGGAAAAGAACATTTTTGGACAGTTCGTCTGTTATGGTGTGGGGTTGTGTTAATGGCAATGGCATGGGTAAGTTACACATAGGTGAAGGCACCGTTCATGCTGAAAGGTGCTGTATTCTGTTTTTAATGTATTTTTACAATTACATGCCAACTTCAATGAAATTGGGTTTGTCTTATGGCTTTAGTTTTTACAGCTTTTTTACATTTATATACTGAAATATGTCTAAATAGATTTAAGTACAGTAAAATCTATACGTACTGTGTATAAAATGAAGCACACTTTTTTTTTTTGTTTTCCCTCCCCTGCCCTCTCACCTGTAGCACATCACAGCCACTCTGTCCGCCCTGTCCGCCAACTGGGACGTAAACCTGGACCCCTTTTCGGCCGCCACGCCAAAAGGACAGGTTACATTTACAAATGTCATCGCCATTCTGGACCCTTTGGCACCTCGCAGGCTGCTGCTGGCATGCCACTACGACACCAAAGCACTGCCTCCGGACAACCGGGCCCCACAGAGGGATTTTGTCGGGGCCACTGACTCGGCGGTGCCCTGTGCTATGATCCTGGAGCTGGCTACTGCTCTGGATAATAAGCTGAAGTCTTTCAAAAAAAAAGTGAGTGTAATGATCGCATGTGGATGTTCTTAACCTTTTGTAACATCCACTGACTTTGATGTTTCAATGACTATACAGAACTCATGATGATATAATAAAGCACACGTTTACGTTATGTCGAGCAGGGGTGGGCTAATTAATTCATTATGGTTATGTCAAACCAAATAACATTTGCGTGCCTTGAATGAAGAAAGTTAACCTCCTTTTAATCAATCATACATGTCAATACAACCATCTCATGCTCTTGTTCTGTTTTTCTTTCCACAGAAGCCTCCAGTAACCCTGCAGCTCGTCTTTTTTGACGGGGAAGAGTCATTCGGGAAATGGACCGCCACCGATTCGCTGTACGGCTCCCGTCACCTGGCCGAGCGCATGGCCGCCACATCCCACCCTGCGGGCGCCGTGTCCACCACCCAGATACAAGCTGTGGTGAGGAATACAGCATTTCAGCGCTCTGTATCGCAGTTTATCGTTTGTGACCAGGCGGTATTGCAGACTTTTTACGAGATCGTTGTTCTATAGGATTTAATGGTATACAGCGCTGCCAAGAGAAATGAGTGCTCTGACTTAAGTTGTCCAATTAGCCAGATTTCAGTTAATATTAACTGTAGGAGGAGCGGTGACCATATCCATGTAGTTCTATATTATACTGCCACCATGTGGCCAAGCCATGCAGAACACAAGGAGCAGCACAGCGTCCATTAGATTGAAGCAAAAAAAAAAAAAGTGGCAAAAACATTCTAATTCTTCACATTTTATTTAATAATCTCACTACAACATGTTTTTGTAAAGTCAAATATTGATTGCCAATTTCCTTATTAAAAAAATAGGGCCCGATCAATAATGGATTAAAAAAAAATTAAGGCCAATGCTGAATAAAATTGCAATAACTGATTAATTTAAAACATATGTACAATAATTAATACAATAACTACTTTCTTAACAACAATACATTAGTTAACGCATGACATTTGACTGTTTTAGATTACTGGTACTTTTTTTAAAAACTTCACAACAGAGTGGGAAAAAAAATCACCTATATCTTTTTAGTGGGTGGGAAGAAAGTTTAAATGTCATTATCTTTGTGTTTTAATGTGCAAAAAAAAAAAAACAAAACAAATTGTAAGTCAAGGTATTACATTAATTAACCCTCAATTGTCTTTTCAGGACCTCTTTGTGTTACTCGACCTGTTGGGTTCTCCCAATCCACTGATAGTGAACCACTTTGAAAACACAGCACACTGGTTCGCCCATTTGATAGCTACAGGTACACGCACCAGGGGGGTCAGATGTTACAAATGTAAGCAAATGTATTCAATGCGTACATCCTACATTGGTCTCTTATTGACAGAGAAGCGCCTCCATCGTCAGGGTCTGCTGGCGTCGCACCCCTCGGAGCAGACCTACTTCAGGAAGGACTTGACCTTTGGACTGGTTGAGGACGATCACATACCTTTCCTTCGGCGAGGTGAATGCCTGTGATGCACATGTCTTGACAAAATAAGTAAACAGTTCGAAAATGTCCAAAGGTGTTTAATATTGCGAGTGTATTTTGAGTTTACAGTGGTGTAGAAATGTGCTGTGTCATGCATAGTATTATGAAAAAGTCAAAATTTAATTTTATTGTAAGCCACTGGAATATTAAACAAGTTGACGGTTTATACTGTACTCAAATATAGGAAAGCAAAATAAAGTTTTTCAGTTAAGTTCAGTTAAAATGTATTGCAGCTAATAATAATGGTTAAATAGAAAAAAACAAACCTAAATAAAAGTTCAAAAACAGTTCTTCAAGGTTGAATCTGAATGTATTTTATTTAAAGAGATACAACTAAAGTGTACATAGGCAGTGATTCTTTCGTACACCACAACCATTGGTAAGATTTACTAATAAAATGAGCTGCAATTTTTTCTGGCATTTGCTGACTGCTTGGCTTGTTGATTAGCAGGATTATGTTTTAACCAAACAGAGGAGTGAATTTGGGAGTCTGCCATTAAATGTTGTTGTAGATCTAGCCCTCGGGCTGAATTTGGTCAACCGGCATATTTTCTTGATCCTCTGCGAAGAACGGCCGTTACTGTAGTTTACCTAGGAGCTGTGACCGTCTCCATGAGTATTCATTCAAATGTCTGTTTTACACTGCGCCTCAGCGCGTATTAAAGCAAGGAGCAGCAGTTTAATTCTTAACATATTATTATATTGTATTTGTTTTTTATAAAGTACAATATGATCAGAACGCCGCTTAAAAAAAAGTGTGTATATATAAAAAAATGGGGGGCTTGAGCGTATTAGTGGCATTTTAATTAATTTTAATGTTGATGAGCATAGTCGCAGAATGAATCAACTCTTTAAGTCAAGGTGCCACTGGATATGTATACAAGCAATTGACAAGTGTATGACAATAATCAATGGACATTTCATCAGATGACAGCAACATCGCCACGTTCAACAATACGAAATATTGGCGCTAGACACTTTTTACTCTGTGTTCGATGTGCCACGTTTCCTTGTGCATCACCTCCAGGCGTGCCTGTTCTCCACGTCATCGCCACGCCCTTCCCGAATGTCTGGCACACGCTGGACGACACCGAGGAGAACCTCCATCGTCCCACCGTGGAGAATCTGACCAAGATCATGGCCGTGTTCCTGGCCGAATATTTGGGCTTATGAAGGCCACTTCTGAAACTGCTCTGAGGGTACTTGAATTTGCACGTCAGCGGCGAGACGGCTGCTGAAAGGAAGTCGCCCTTCATGGAGCAACAAGGACTGGAGTGAGAAAGTGACGTCAACTGGACACCAGCTAAAGATCTACACGCTAATGTCCAAGGTCAAGTATGACTGCTGCTGCTTCAATGTCATCAAGAACAATTGTGATTTTTTTTTTTCGACTAGCCCTTAGCATTACATGTCATCCTATGTCTATGAGATGCACTCATTACATTTTTTTTGGGGTCAATGTCTTAACACTGAAATGCATTCGGAAAACAAATTGAGCATTTGACCGAGTCCACACCGAGGATCACGGCCACCGAGTTACGCTATTTTACTTACTTTATTGTCCACAAAGGAGGCACACCGTTTCATGTCGTGTGCTTGGTTTCTTATTTTCTGTCGATGGTAACTGCAATACATGATGAGGCACGGGCCAATTACGGCCCGTTTGATGGTTTACCGTGGTTTTAAAAAGTTTATGTTTTTTAATGACTACGAATGGGTCTGCTCGAAAAATAGCTCACCGGTGGTGGGACACCCACCCGCAAAGAATTAGAACAGAAGAACGGGAACATTTAAATTATAACGTGGTACACCTTTCTTCTTTGCTAAATATTTTATATTTTGTTTACCCCAAAAAAACAAAAAAACAATAGGTTCTTGTGTTCAGTAGGGGTAAATGGTGTTGACACAATAAAAATGTCAGTTTGGACCTGGAACTGTAATGCCTGTTACCACAATATTTTTCATCCCTGTTGTCATACCGTCAAAATCTGATTAGCCCAAGCTTATACATGATGTAATTCAGGACCAAGTTTTGAAGCTGAAAGTTTGGGGACCATGGTTTTTAACGATGTCCCAGAAGTCACTGTGTTTCCTTTTTTTCTGTATCGTTTCAGGTATCATTTGGACAAACGTGAGGCCATCAGCATTTCGGCTTTGCACTGCTTAGAAACGCACCGCCGTCCCCAATTGGTGTTGGACTAAGCGCTGCAAAATGGCTGCCTGACAAGAAGTTTTTCTGTCCTCAACTGCTACGGTACTCATGTTATGTTTTTTTGTTTTTTTTTTTCGAAACAAGATCGCAGCTACCACTACTGACGAAAACACTAAACTTTTCGAGCTGGCATTTGTGTACAGCCCCCGGGAAAGTTTATTCGGAGGGCTACACTGGCATTTGCATACAGCCCCCGGGAAAGTTTATTCGGAGGGCTACATTGAATTGAACTGCTTTCGGGCACAGAAAGACATCTTGCCAGGCGGTAATAATGGCTTTCAGGCACAGAAAGACATCTTGCCAGGCGGTAATAATGGTGTTTACAAAAATTTAATTAAAAAAAAATGCTGATGGCCTCCCGTAATGGTACCTGAAATGGAAAGTAACGTTTGGCCCACTCTGTACTACCTGTTTAATACAGTATGCACTGTAACTAGTATATGCTTGAGCCTTCATGGAAAGTTGAAGTGATGACCAGAAATAAACTTTTAAGGCAAATTCACTGGAAGCCTTTCATTATAATTGTCGAAAACAAAAGAAATCGGTCAACAACCATTTAAACTTGAGTGCCGCCTCCAGGCCTGCCTCCAGAGGTGGGCCCCGGTGACCCGTGTCACCGGGCAAAGGAAAACAATGTCCAATATTTTTCATTCTTCATGAGGGGTCTGTGAGCCGTGCTGTGTGGTCCCTCACCTCGGATCTGTTTGCCATGGGTGACCCTGCTATTGGCATAAAGCCCCAGACATCTTAGCTCCTGGGTTCATTGGGACACACAAACCCCTCCACGAAGGTAATGTGACAGCTCAAGGATGGGCATAAATAGTTTTCATACAAATAAAGTAGAATTTGGCTAAATTCCCAAACCACACAAGCATTGGTTGGGAATCTACTATTTAAGAGATAATAAATGGAAAATTTTGAAGAAAATATCGCTGGAGGTCATATAAATGAACTTTATTACATCATCGTGTAATATAAAAAATAGAATGCATTTGATACAAAAAAGGAGAGAACAAGACACAAGTGATCCCTTTTCAAACACGATCAAATTGTCAAAACATCTTTGGTGAATGCTGGAGTTCATTTTCTGTGTGTGTGTGTGTGTGTGTCAGGTAGGAAAGACGACAAATGTGCATTAGCCCACACAGGCTGTCGTGTCGATTTGATTTTGCTTAGAAATGGCTTGTACACCAGACAAAACATATGTGACATAAAAAATTCCTATTTCCCTTTATCTGTTCTGTTCTTTAAATACTCCTTTAACAAATGATTTGTCCACGGGATGCTACCATTTTGCCTTAACAGTTGATCCAGCAGGTGAAAGCTTTGAACATTTGCCATTGTGATTAAAATGAATATTTTCTTGAAAATTTGATTCCCCCCCCCTCCCCAAAATAAAACGCAAAACACCAATGGACACATGAGTTTTGGATTAAATGCACGAACAAAACAGTCTTTTATAAAAAGTCTACACACCTCTGCTCAAATCCCATTTTACAAGAAAATCATAGTCAGACCAAGAAAAAAAGGGGTGCCTAGACTTTTTACATCCACTGTATGTTACCATAACAACAAAAAAAGTCATAATTGTAACACAACCCTTAATTGTTTTCTTGTGTGTACCATAAATTGCCAAAAGGTTTCACCACTGACAGTGGAAGGTTCACATGACCACTTCAGACTAAAATTGTACAAGTTTTTCCGCACTTATACACCCCAAAGTGATCACATATCCAAGCGCTGTCATAGCAACACGGCGTAAACATTGTATGAATGAAATGTGCAAAATATACAAAGAAAACAAATCAATACATTTTTTTTTTTTTAACCAGAAACGAAAACCCACACATGAACGAGTGTATCCTAACCAGTCCCGTTCGGTTGCAGACATCTCAAAACATTTTATTCGAAACGTGTAAGCTTTAATATAAGGCACTTATCGTTGTCTTTTTGTGTCATGCAGCATCATGATGTCAAGTTTACAAATGTAAAGCTTTCATTGCGCTCCCAAGTTTTTTAACCAACTTGAGACACGTTAGTGTCCTATAAGTAAAAATTGCATAGTCAATATTGTTAAAAATGGAGGGCGGCTGTGTTACATAACTGGTAAATGCAGCTCATAACATATAACTGGACGTCCCTGGAAGCTTTAAAAACATACATATAGTGTTTCACATAAAAATCTGGACTCCTTGGTAGTACATCATATATTACAAAAAATAATAATGAAAAAAATTGCATTTTTGGACATGTCAGCCAACACCCAACTATTTCAAGACCTGTGCCTTTCCCAGATGGTCTGGTGAATAGTTTACTGTGTTGCCTCCAAAACTAACTATGACCACACTGCTAACAAAAAGCCACAAACATCCACAGTGCAAGTGGAGCGCAAAAGATACGCATCAGCCGCGAGGTCGTGATCATTCCTTGCATGCCGTCGGCTAATAATTCAATCTGGATGCAGTTTCCTTGAACAGAGCTTTTCAAAGTGCGAGATGCCGAACGAGTTCAGGGGAGGCGCAGCAGCTGGAGAAATATAAATGATAAATACAGTATTTGGAAGCCTGTTAAATTTGCTAACCTTAAAACGGGAGTAGGAAATAGGACCCAGAAAATCAGCTGCTTACCCTTAAAATTAGTAGGAAATAGGACCCAGAAAATCAGCTGCTTACCAAGGGTTCATACGAAATTGGGCGGTTTTACGAAACCTTTGGTATCAATGTGCTGTTCACATGCATGATTGCAATAACTTTATTGTGTTGCTGAAGGGAGACAGTTTTATGAAAACTAGCAATTTTACATGTCTTGCAATTTTAATTGTCTTGCGAAAATGAGACAGTATTACAAAATGAAGCAAGGTGCAGTCATTACATTGTTATATGAATCCAAAGTGTTTAAGAAATCGCTTACCTGAAATTTCACAACCTGCAGTAATTGTCTTGCTAAAATGATTCTCTACAAATTGCAAGAAGCGTGCAGCTATTTTGGTGTGAGACTAACTTTGATATGTCGGAAGAAAATTCTCTCGACTTGAAATTTCGCCAACATCAAGCAATGATTTTCATTGTATAGGCTCACACTTTAAAAAGCACTGATCTTTGGACTTTGGTGTGGCTGGTGTAGGATGGCTTCTAGCAGACTGGAGAGTGTGAATGCGTGACTTTAAGAGCCCGGTCAATGACCGGCGATCAATCCGGGGTGTAGTTTGCCTTTCACCCAAAGTCACCTGGGAAAGACTCCAGATTTCACAAGGCTCGGAAGGATTAACCAGTATAAAACGGATGAATGGATGTCCCGTGTTGTCCATTAAAGCTGCAGAAAATACATCTTTTCAGTGTCAGCTGAGGCTGCGATGGTTGTACAATCGTGAACAACTCAAGCAAATAAACTAACAGGCACTATTTCATAGATTTTTTTGGGACGGTGTGGCAGTTTTTTTTTCAGATGTGTTAGGTAAACAAGTCTACAAACCCAGATCATCATCCACGGGAACCGACTGAAGCTGAGTCAGAATCTTGGTGTCCCCGTCGATTTCTTCGGGATGCCCTAGTGAGGATCTGGTGTCCTGTTCCGGAGACGTGCTCCCCAGAAGCAGCGCCTCCCCACCCGGTAGACCCAAGAGACCTGGATCTACAGGTAAGTCCCCCTTCCCTCGTCCATCAAACAGAGTTAAACCGGCCGAGGTGGAAAGAGGTAGGGGGCTCCAGGTCGGATGGGACAACTGCATGTTGGGTGTCAGACCCCCTCCATACATGGGACTGAGGGTGAGCATGCTCTCCGGGGAAAGAGCGTTTGGCGTGGTAGGGGCGACTGACGGATCTGGCGTGGTCGAGGAGGAAATGGCGGACGTCTGGGTGGTTGCACTTCCAGTTTCCGCGGAGTAATACGGAGCAGGTGGATTGAGGAAGTTCAGTGGAGGGGCTGCGAGGATGTTGGTGGGCTGATCTGGGGTTGTCGAAAGCTGGGAGGTTACCGGGACATTTGAAGGTGTGGGACTCAGACTCACACCATTTGCGGGAAGGGGGGACGGGTCAGGAACTGGTTTCAGAGGCAAACTGGTAAGTTGAAAGCCCGCCGGAATGGTCAGAATCAGCTTCCCTTGCTGGACACTCAAGTAGGGGCTTCCACCAAGAAGAAGGTTACCTACCACAGACGAACATCATAGATGGTTAGCAATATTAAGATTGTCATCATTACTTGGAGAAATTGTGTGAATACTGAGTCACCAATGAACTAAGTGATCACCCAAATAAATTTCAGGATGAACCTAAACTGTACCATCGTAAAATCTTGATTCAACGGACCCGGAACCAAAAGGCGCCTGGTTTCAAGGGATAGAAAATAGTGTCCAGTGCACTCAAAATGCTGTTTTGTACAAAAGGTACAATTCCAAATCTGTTAGTTCCAGAATTGGCCGTAAATGGCACTGTGGCGGCATCAACAGACAAAGACTGGTCACGCATTTCCCGCTTGCGCTGCTCTCTAGTTATATAAAAACAGACTTTACAGTAGACTAGAGCAGACTAAAAAGCGGATCAATGTAGCAGCCATGTCAACAGGGGCCACTTTAGCATCAAAAAAATTTATGTACAAACGTGGCTGCCATGTTAGCAGGAGAGTGCAACCGGTAATAGAAAGCGTGGATGTTAGCTTAGCATCCACCATAGTCACATAGTGCAGGGAACAAGTCATATAAATCTATTTGTATATCTATGGATGTGTTTACTGGAGTGAGTTGTGCACACATCTCTCGAACATGCTATTTTTGGTACAGTACTTATAGTAGGTTTTGTTTTGTATCGCCCTTTTGTATTTAATCATAACAGAGGTGAAAAAAGCAAATGTTAACATTGTGTCTCATGAACACTACCATATGCAGGCCATTCATTTTTGTGCCTTCACCTTGAGCTGCAGAAGGTATCTGAATGATCCCAGAATTGCAAGTCATATAGACCTATTTATATATCTATGGATGTGTTTACTGGAGTAAGTTGTGCACACATCTCTCGAACATGCTATTTTTGGTATAGTACTTTTTGTAGGTTTTGTTTTGTAGAGCCCTTTTGTATTTAATCATAACAGAGGTGAAAAAAGCAAATGTTAACATTGTGTCTCATGAACACTACCATATGCAGGCCATTCATTTTTGTGCCTTCACCTTGAGCTGCAGAAGGTATCTGAATGATCCCAGAATTGAGCAGATGCATACCGGGGATCACATTGGTTGTTGGGCCCAGACTCTGAATGGGTCTTAGTTGGTTTATCCTGAGAGGACTTTGATTGATCCCGCCTGGCGCTGAAGCCAGGAGTTGCAGAGGCACTCCAGCTGAGGTCACGGACAGAGAGGGACTGGCAGGAACCACCTGGGGGAATGAGATGGCGGACGATGTCTGGATGGACGAGACCGGCACCAGCTGGGGCACGGATAGAGGGACTAACTTTGCTGGTACGGTGGATTTCACTTGAGGTACTGGAACCACTTGTGTTGGGGAGGAGATAGAAATGACCTGTGGCGTCTGGAGTTTCACGGTTGAGGAGTTGACGGCCTGGGTCCCGAGTTGGCGTGTCACTTGTTGTGGGAGAGGAGTACTGGGTACCTGTGAGATGGACACGATTGTTGTGGAACCATCAGCCAATGGTGTAGAAGCATCCCGCTGCCTGCTCATTGTCGGAAGGCCTTGGAAATTGATTGTAGGTGACGTGAGAGGGGAAACGGGGACTAGCTGAGGACCTTGGGACACCTGTGCCACAGGGGGTTGTTGAACCAACTGGGATACTGGTATGCCCTGGATGGAAGGCACCACCTGGGGCAAGGAGAAGACCTGAGGCGTGGACTTACTGGAGTTGACCAGTGAGCTAGAAGGGTTTATCTGAGGGACCGAAGAGGCAAGAACGACGTATTCTCCTTGCTGACTCGGGAGGGACAAGGCAGTTGAAGGGAGGGCCTCCTGGCACGAGGGGGGTTGTGTAAGAACTAGCGACGGAAGGCTGGTTGGCGGCGAGGGAGACAAAGACAAAGAGGAACAATCTGGCTGGCTGCTTTCTTGTTTTATAATGTCTTCTGGCACGGCGATGAAATCCATTGCACTGCTACTTTGGCTCTTCGATTGCACGGGAAGAGTGATGACTGACGTTGGGTTGGAGACCGTCGAGTTGTTTGTGCTCAGGACAACGGCTGGAAGACTGTTTGGCTTTGTGACTATTGGCAAAACCTGCTGATCTGCCAAGGAAACTGCTTGCTGCGGAACCTCTGGTTTGGATAGAACCTGAGCACCGTTCAGTATCAAAGGGGAGCTGGCCACCTGACTCAGGGTGACTTTCTGTCCATCCCCCATGCTCAGCCCGTTGATGATGACACCAGCGCCGGTACCGGGGATGAGGGAATTACCGTTGAACATTAACGGTTGGGAAGCTGTCAGGAAGCCGGCAGAGCCATTGACAATGAGCTGACCTGCCGCGGCACAGTTGACCGCTGAGAGCGAGATGACAGAGGCCTTGGAGGCGGCGGGCTCGTCCGCTTTGTCTGGGGTTTCGTCCATGGTACTCGCCTCATCCTCACTGCTGTGGTTACCATCAGATTCACTGAAACACCAAAGGAATAAACAATGTATTTTTAGCGAGATAGGCGTAAGAAGTCGGGGTGATAATCATGAAGGCTGGATTCACACTACGGGGATCGAAAAAACCCGCTCGGAATGGGATATCTTCAGATCGGAATCAGGCCTCTTCCAAATATAGATAAAAATGATTTCTGTGCCACTGCAAGTGCAGTGTGCATAGACACAACTCAGAGATACCCAATCGATGCATGCCTGACATTACTGAGTGGCGACTAAAATCATGGTTAGCAAACATGCTAACCACCATGACAACAGTGTGGCCCCTACACCCTCTAATAGTGTCCAATCCAAGCGCTTGAACATAAATTTAGCCTGTCGTATACAAACACATATTGGAAACACCTTCTGGTGTGCCAATCACAATAATACAATCAATACTGAAAGGTGGATTTTGCGATTCAGCGCTTGTTATTGGCTCCCATTAAATTGTGTACCCAATGTAGTTTCTTATAAGCCAGTTTGGATCTTTCTAGGCTGCTGGTTTTGGGAAAGTACACATCTTCCAGACCACCACAGAACCTTCAATTGATAAGATAAGGTTGCTCTTATCTGTTCACACCCCACCTCTTTGGTGTGGTGTCATGCATTGTGGTTTCTTCTGACAGACCTTGGCATACTGTTAGTAAACAATAGGCGCACTGCGGTGCTTCTGGGTGGTGAAAAGTGACCGACTACCACTGAACTGAAAATGACATGCTCGACATTATTTATTTATGTATTTATTTATTTTAGAAATTCATATTAAAGTGTGGGCATGTTACGAAAAACAATTTGAACCAGGAAATCATTTTTGATTTAAAAGAATGCATCAAATCTAATGAGGGCTGTCACATTGAATATTTTGTAGAATGTTATTATATTGAATAAATGGATAAAATTATACTTTGCATTAAAATGGATTACAGTGATCCTTCGCTTATCGCGGTGAATGGGGACCAGAACCCCCTGTGAAAGAGGAAAATCCGCAAAGTAGGTACGTATATATCTACCAGACCTCCACAAAAAGCTCCATATGATAAGATAAGGTCATTCGTACCTGTTAACACTGCAATGGTGGGAAGTAACAAAGTACTTCAATCCTGTACTTCAGTAGACTTTTCATGTATTTGTACTTGAGCATATTATGACGACTTTTTACTTTTACACCGTGCATGCGAAAACAGACATTTGTACTTTCAACTCCTTTGTCAAAATAGGGAAACAGAAAACAAACCAGAGTGGTAAGTACACTTCAGAGTCTGTACTTTTTCCATTTTTACTTAAGTAAAGTCATTTGAATCTGTACTTCTGGTTCACAGATTTATGAGTTCCTTATGTAGCATCCAGACCCCTCGGGTCATCTGCGCCAGATCTATTGTGGTTTCCCAGAACCAGAACTACAAAAAATGAAGCGGAATTCAATTACTATGCTGCTCACCTGTGGAACAAACTTCTTGAATGAAACCTGAGTTCCGCTCCAACTGCCACTTCATTCAAATTAGGACTGAAAACATTTGTTTTACTGCAGCGTTCTCATGCACTACCATTTAAATAATCTCTTTGCGATTATGAATGCACAATATTCTTTGTTTTTCAAATTCTCTTTTACTGTCACAAATTTATTTAGTCTCCTGTTTTAATTCCTTTTGTATTTTAAATGTTCTTGTATTTTTTTTTACTATTACTATTTCCTTGACTTACTGTAGTTCTTTGCCTGATTTGAGCGATAAACAACCTTGCCTTGCCCTTGTATTTTTAATAGCATCTTTTTTTAAACAAGTATATTTCTATTTAAGTTGCATGCTTGTACTATTAACATTTGTGTGTGTGTGTGTGTGTGTGTGTGTGTGTGTGTGTGTGTGTGTGTGTGTGTGTGTGCGCGTGTAATGCTATTTCTTCCCAGTGTGTACTTTTTTACTTTTACATAAAGGTGTTAAATCAGTAATTGTACTTTTAGCAGTCTTTTACAAAGTCACATGACCAAACCCAGAAAACAGGTGAGGCATAATTGTTACCTGAGCCCTGAGCAACTGTGATGTCATTTTCAGTCAACAGCAAGTGGCAGTACAAGGCAAAATGGCAGCCACCTGAGATGGATTTGAAACAGGTTTTGCTGCTTCAGTAATACTTCACAAAGACAATATTAATCAGAATGCCATGTATAAAAAAAATATTATTGTGAAGAACATTTTTCATAGACTTTCTCTTTAAGAATGTGTTTGTTTTTAAATATTTAATCAGGTATATTTTTAACTGAATTTTTGTGTGGCAGACATTTTTTAAGTATCGTATTTTCCTGTACTGAAGCGCTGTGTTGATGTTCTAATGTTAAGAGTGGCTTACAATATTTAAATTATGTGCACTTTGGCCGACTGCATTTCAATGTTGGCCAGGGTTTAATTTGGAGTGCAAAGTATTTTTTTCACCGGTGCGTAGTGTAAAAGGTTTTCTCTCAAAACGTCCCTTTGCTATTGTCATGTAAAAACGTGTGTGCCAGACAGAGCAGATTGTGTTTTGCAGGAGACTTGAACCATGACGCTTCTCACATTTCATAACAAAGCAACACGCTCTGCTGTCACCTCCTCTAACGTGCGTTTATTGACTTGACGGACTGGCTCTGTTTATATACAGGAACAAACGGAGGTCAACAAAAGGAAGGTCGAACTCGAACTTAACAATATGGATTCGTGTGCGTGTGTGTTCTTGCCTTTTGCAGTGCGTCCCAGGCGGGGTTCTGTCCCTCTGCCGCCGGTTCTTGAACCAGTTGCTGACCTGCGTGAGGGACAGCCCGGTGACTTTGGCCAGGTTCTTCTTCTCGTCCGGCGTGGGGTACCTGTTGCTCTTGTAGCACTCCTTCAGGGCGTTGCGCGACTTCTCCTTGAAGCAGTACACCGTCTCCTCGCCGTCCCAGATGGTTTTGGGTAGCGGGAACTTCTTCCTGAGCCGGTACTTGTCTACGGCGCCCAGGCTGCGGCCGCGCGACCTCTCCGCCTCCTTGTAGCGGGCTCTCAGGTAGAGGTCCTGCAGGAATACGTGGTTGGACGGCTGGAAGTCGTGGCTCTCTAGCAAAGCGTAGAGTTCCTTGAAATGTTCTCTGTGGAACGCCACCAGAGCCTGGGCCTTGAGCAGGGTCTCGTTGCCACGTAGCAGCTCGGACGAAGGATGGATGGTGGAGAGGAATCTCCACAGGCGATCCACATTGCCCGCCTGCAGGAGGGCCTCGCACAGACACGAGACTTGCTCCGTAGAAAAACTCACGGCGGAGAGCTGGAAAGTTTGAAGCAGGCGTTCGGCTACTTGCTCCGCATCTTTCTCGTCCTCCGCGGCGGTGGGCTCCTCGGCGCTATTGTCGGATTGTTCTGTCGACTCCATAGACAAGGAAGCCATTTTTTTGCTTGAACTTTTTTTCCCCCTTCCTCCTCTCCTCCGCCTCCTCGCTCCCCTTTCTCTCCTGCACCATTGGAGCCGAGCGCGACAACCAGGCGAGGACGCGCCCCTTTTCGCCCCTCAACAAGCTCAACAAGTTAGGAAATAAGACTGTAAATCATTGATCCATCAGCTCTGGTGTTATTTTATTCGCTAAAGACGCATTTATAAAATAGCGCACGCCTGTTCCTGTTTTCTGTTTTCCCCTAAATATATTCGCCGTCGGTTTCGCGTGTTATTTTGCCATGTTATCCAGTGTTGATTCCAAAAGTGATTTTATCTTAGTCTTTATTGAAACTTGTTTTGCTTCAGGTTCCTCTATGTATGTTTAGTTATACCACAAAAATGCCACTTTATGTCATCTATTTGATTGTTTTGCTTCAAGTTCCTCTATGTATGTTTAGTTATGCCACAAAAAATGCCACTTTGTGTCATCTATTTGATGTGATATTAACATCTGTCTTTTGTGTGTTGTAAAGCTCGTTCACGATATACGCATGTTATTCTTGTAGAACTGTTTAATCGGTCGAAACTAAGAAACTATTTTTACGTTTGGTTTGTGTTTACTCGTACAGTATTGTCGAGCGCCCTCTATGACATTTACGGTAATTACAATTCTCTACTCTGATTGGTTATCAATATGTCAACTACATGGGAGTGGGCGGTTTCACGTTCCACTTCCGCCAGATTTCAAACGCCATTTGTCGAACTGTTCGTGCTTACATATGATTGGTTATTTAAAGTATAGGGGCGGGAACATAACGACGGAAACCGGAATGTCATTTCGAGCAAGTACCACCAAATACCAACAGGAGCTGACACATCGCTACGGAAAACATATCAACGTGACGCATAGATTCTTCAGTTTTGATATACTGTGCTACTAAACTTCGGTTTCACTCAAAAGAAACATCTTTGTAAGTAGCTATTATTAAAATTAAACCATTAGTACCTCTTCAGTGTTTCTTTGTTGCCGATGTTAGCCACCCAAGCTGCTAACGCTTCATGTGTTTTTCTTTAAAGGTGGTTCCCTCGTAAATCTAAACTATGTCTTTCTTTTTACTTCATTGCGTGAAACGGAGACTACCAATGGTTATCAAAGTTCAGTGGTACTTTCTACTCTGTATACATTGTTTGATTTGCTATGAAGTCTTGCACAGTATTAGTTTGCCGATGTGTCTACATTTCCTAATTTTCACTCATTCTATGTTCTCAACCAGCATCCTTGGCCAAGCAGTCAAAAAGATGGATGGTTCAATAAGTGTTATTACCAATCCTTCTGTTAACGTGCGCCTTACGACCACCATATCCTCCTTTGAGGTGAAGCGAAGGTTTGATAGAGGGCTCTCCATTGCAGAACTGAAGGTAAGCCTATATCTATTAAGGTGCGTTACATTATCAGTCACCTAACAACATCCTCAACTGTCTCTAGAGATACTAGTATTAAATATTCTTTTTTTTTCATTTATTTAAAAGGGAAAACTGGAGATGGTTGTGGGTGCTCCTGCCTCCAGCATGGATCTGGAGTTGTTCAGCACATCAGACAAGCTGTTGCAGAAGCTGGATGACGACAATGCTTTGCTGGGCTCTTATCCTGTGGATGATGACTGCAGAATACATGTACGGGGGCAGGGCTTTGGTTTCAGTGGTGAGATGGAGAAACAGAGTAGAGGGACAGAGGACGAACAGAGAGAGAAAACAGGATAGAGGGTTTGAGCAACTGAACAACTCAAGGCAAAAACAACCCTCCTGGGCTGCTGGGCAACATTTAGACAAGTTAAAGCAGCTTCGGTGTAACATCCTGTGAAAAGGCAGGACTTCGCAGTAAAAGCAATACAGTATAATCACAGTTTTTCACCACTTTCTTTGCACACGTTACGTTTACACACTTTCACTAATCTCCTATGTAGCAGTAGCACTCAAGCTATTTTCTGCACGTTTAATGATTGTGACTGTTCTATAAGCCACCATGTAGCCCAATAACCCATGGGGAAACTGTTATTACATGAATGTTTTTATTTTGAAGGTCTGACTTTTTGAAAGGTTGTTTTACGCAGATGATACTTATTATAATAAGCATAATTTTCATTTTCCTCTGACTCAGGTTTTCATTCATCATCGCATAGAACTGCATTAGCTTCCAACGTGTAGCTCAGTGTGCTTTCCATTTAGACTCGATGGCACAAAAAACGTATTTTTTCTGTATCTCATTTTCCTCATCAGGTTATCGATCGAAGTGGGGGCCAGTTGGGAGAGTTTACTGACGTCACCAAAGTGGAGAAGTTTGTTCTGTCAGATGATGCTTATGAAAAGAGATCAGGCAAGTGAACTTTCTTTTTAAAAACAGATATCATACCAAGATAGCCTGTTTCACAAAAAGATCACCATCGGAGCCGGAACAGTTTATCGAGACTTTATCCGCCCTGGCTGTCTCTCCACTTCAGGCACAGCGAGATCCTTCATGAAGAAGCAGTGCCTAGGCCGTTACAATGAGGAGGAGATGGCCAAGAAGAAAGCTGAGAGCATTGCGAGGGAGCAGGAGCAGCAAGCAGCCGCTGAAGCCATTTCCGTGGGCAGCCGATGCCAAGTCCAAGTCCCTGGGCAGCCCACAAAACTTGGCACGGTCATGTATGTTGGTAAGATTGGATACACACGTAAAGACACTCGAACTGTTTTTGTCACGATGTTGCCCCTTCTCGACCAAGGATGTCAAACACCTGACCGCTGTTTTATAAGATTATCCTTCTGTCTGAGATGTATTATGAGTGGATTCTCCCAATAATAGAATCTGAAATGGGTCACAGCCGACAATCTTAAATATGAAATGTGTTCAATATTAATAGCCAAAAATCATGTGGGGGGCAATGTTGTTATTGTAAATAAAGACTAACTAGTTTACTAAAATTATGGGCCATGGCCTTACTGCGTGGAGTTTGCATGTTCTGTCCGTCCCTGCATGGGTTTTCTCCGGGTATTCTGGTTTCCTCTTCTGTTTTTTTGCGAACCACGGTCTCTCGTGGCCAAAACTATTTTAAAACAAGTATTCCTTAGTTCAGTATCCACACATCATTTTAGTATACATTTTTATAAACATATATTTATTTTTAAAAAGTCAGCGAGAGAGAAGCCCGACCCAACCCGAAGCAATGATTGACATTTTAGGCCCGAATTTCTCGGGCTTAAGATCTTACCTCTACTGGGGCAGTCTAACACCTACTGGTAATGAAGAAAAAAAAAGATTGGCGCATATTGTGAATTTTGTTTTGCTTGTGGTGTTTCCAGGCACAACAGATTTCAAGCCAGGCCATTGGGTGGGCGTCAAGTATGACGAGCCATTGGGGAAGAACGACGGCAGGTTAGAGTGCCATTCTGCACACATTTAATGTGCCTACTTTGTAGTTTTTTTGTACTCTGACTATTTTCTATTTTTCCTCTTTCGTCACAGTTGCGAAGGGAAGCGCTACTTTGAGTGCGAGCAGAACTATGGGGCGTTCGTAAAGCCGCTGAATGTGACTGTGGGAGACTTCCCAGAGGAGGATTATGGTTTAGATGAGATGTAGGACGGCGAGGTGACAGTTGATATGATGCAAAAACATTGTTGATAATCTGTTTACTTTGCTTTTTCAAGAAGGCATGAACCACAATCTGGTGTTTGACTTGACTTTTTTTTTTCAAGATCGAAGTTACTCATATTCTTGCCAATGCAGCAGAAATAACAGGCTTATACTGTATGTTCCTGGTTATGCAGGATATGGTTCCGCATGGGATTCTTTCTGTGTGCTTCTGATGTACCTGTTAAATCACATAATTTAAAAAAAAACAACCTTTCTTGTCCTTCGCTTCATGCCATTGTGTATGAAATATGTACTCTCGGCATACTGTTTGTGCAATAGTGCGTATGTATGTGTATTTGTGTGTAAAGCAATTCAGCATACATCGATTCTCCGTGTAGATACATTCTGTATTTCTCTTATTTTTATATTAATAAATTCCTGTCATTGAAAATGTTTGCACTTTCAACATGTTGTGGGTTTATTTGAACTTCTGCAATGGAAATCTTAAATTTATCTGAATAATTAATAGGCTAGAATTAGTGCCCGCCAGGCCATTATCTTGCCGTCATTTGGGTTCACTTCTCTATGATACCCTTGGCAAACATTGATTGATTTCAGTTAAGACCGTGAGGTCACATATTGTCACTTGAGCTAGGCAAAGTCGCCCCCATTTGGATGGGCCACCAAGACAGTACAAGAGCAGAAAGCCATTTTGAACAGATTCAGGCCTTCCGCATTTTGAGTAAGGCTCCATTGTTGTGCCTCGATATTTCTGGCATCAAACCGTTTAACTGAGAATGCGCAGTCTTCTGGTAGTTATTATTAGAATAACAAGGCATCAAGGATAAAAAGAGTAGGGCAAAGACTTATCAGAATTTGTCAGTTGTTAAAGGGTTTTATAACTCAGCGACAGAAACGGTCAAATTAAAGAGTGTTTGAAAATAGGTTACTACAGCTATAAATCTCTGAAGTCTTAATTTGTTTGAAAGAAGAGTACTACAGTCGTTTCAGAAACTGACTAATCCCGTTACTCGGCGAAACAGTCTTGTACGAACAAATTGTTCAAAGAAAATCACAAGACGTCACAACATACGTAACAAAGGCGCAGGCTTACGCTGTCCTTTTTCTCCTTTGGCCGCGCCCACCCCGTGCAGGTGACGTTCCTCTCGCGAGATTTCCCCGCGAGGGAGCCGTGTGCTTGTGTGCGTGACAGAGACAAGGAAAGATGGCGACCCAGGACAGTCAAGCGACTATAGCGGCCGCCAGCAATGGCGAGGTAAACTCAGCGATTCCCACCTTGACATTCGCGTTTCGTTTTTTCATTTCGGTGACAGGAGGTCTGTATTTCCCTTGCGGTGACAAGTGTCATGCTGCTGCCGTTTAAAGCGGCCGAGTGACGTTTATCAGTGCCGGTTGCTTTCGAAATGCGTCTCCCTCCTTTCCCCCGTTTTCCCCTCCTCTTTCCTCCGGTGCTCTGACTGACAAATTCACGCCGTTGGCGTGCAATACGATCGGTGTCAATGGACACATCCCTCATGGGAGGACCACTTGCTCATGGCTAACTAGCTCACCAGTGTCAGTTAGCTACCACAAGGCCTCGGAATAGAGAACCACACAGACTCGGGACGATCTGCACACGTCACCTTCGTCAGAGGCATCATTCACTTGTTACAAATGAGCCACTGAGAACAAGAGTGGGCTAACTCAATTTTTGTCATTTTGCAGGAGAGTGGTTTAAAGTTATGCCTGCAATAAAAATCTGGGGCATATATTTTGTGGGTAATTATTAACATTCTGGATATGTGTTTTTACAGAACTTGTGGTTGTCCTCAGATTTTGGTGTTTTGAAAAACAGTTTTTGGACTTTTGTATTGTAATTGTATGCACATTTTATTGTAAACCGATGGACTGTCGTCATCATCACTTTCATAGGTTGGATGCCAGTCAGAATCATCCAGGTTGTGTAAAGGAAAATAACCACCTCGGATTAGATTTAAAAAAAAACTGTAGTGAGTGCAGTAGTGGTCCAAGTCCAAACATACACTCAAATTTGGGCCAAAGGATTTGGAAGAATTCTGGAATAGTGTTTATCCCCACCCCAATATTGTGATTGTGATTTAATTGGTGCACTTTAAATGATTAAAATGGACAATTTTCAGTGGCTTTGGCAAACTAGGCTGATGTCCACTTTTAGAAACAAAAAGCTTCTGGCTAGTTATGACTAGTGTTGCTTTTTCTTGATGACCGTTGCAGCTCATCAAAACAAAAAAAAAAAAAAAGACCCAGCCTGGAGGAAAAACTTGTCTGGTCTAGTCTGCCCTCACATTAAGGCTTGGATTCTGCCCAGTGATACAGTATCGTGAATTGCGCTAATTGGAGTCAATTATTACTATTATTTTCATTCTTAGGTATGTTAATTTGATAATTCAACTTAGATATAATAGTATTTTTACTGAATCGGTTTGCAGTCTTTACTAGTAGTTTGTTAGGAAATGGTTAGTGTGTCATCTCATCTTTGTTGTAAACAATTAAACCCACATTTCCCCTGCTTATAAATGTCACTATCATACTAAATTAAAAAAGTGCTTTTCTCAAGTGCATTAACCATTACAAGAGCGTAATTTCTCAACTCGTCGTTAATTGTTAATCCTCGCGCACCTTTATGGAAATGGGTTATTTATTGTCTAGATTGGACTCCCACAGATGCCTGTGTGCATATGAGTGTGTGTACGTGGTGTTCTGAAGCCTATTGGTGAAATGTCACACGTCCATGTCTCGTGTATAAGCGATGTCATGGCATCAAATGTGAAAACCAAAATCCATTTGCGCCACTTCAGGGCCATAAAATCTTATGGATGATGAATCGGTGACTTATCTTCAGACTTAAAACCTTCACTCACTCGAATAATTTACCGACTCAACCTAACTGCCATGTCGCATCTCCACTTGGCTTTTGTCTCCCATGTGTTGAAAACAAAGAGGAAGATTAAACTTTGAGATAGCAAATGGATCCCATGACATCACATGTGGTCTTGTCTATTGTGTCACTTGAATAGAAATGTGGCCTTGTTTGTGGTGGTGGACAATTCAGTTTTTGTCTTCCTTTACAGTGCGGGAGGGTGAAATGCAATTAAATTAATTATTTGACCCAAATATGTGTGTGTCATATGATTAGGAGGTGGCTACTCATGTTGTCCTTGAGGCTAACTAGTACCTTTTCTTACACCTTCCTCCTCCCCATGCGTAACTGCTCACCCCTCCGGTCTCTCCAATAAAAGACAATTCCATACGAATCTCAGTATATTTTCCGCTGAAACGATTTGAATTGATTCGATTCCATGCGCTCGCGTCTTACGAACCGATTTTTGGATTCAGTGTCGTTTGTCAGACCCTTTCATTGTTTCATGTTGAAGTGATACGGTAAACTTCAACTAGGAGTGGCAAGATTATCTATTGAAACAAGCACATTTTGGCTTTTATTTTGAAGAATTGTTCGCTGTGTGTCAAACTTTACACAGCCCATCTTTAAAAAAACTGGTGCCAAAAATGATGCGAATGGACTCTTTTTGATGGTAAAGTAAGGTATTGCAGTAGTTTTTTGGTAGCGCTTCACTGTGCGTGTAAGTTCGTAACAACACAGCAAACGCCATTTTATAACACTTCATTGAGCATGTGTGTGTGTGTGTGTGTGTGTGTGTGTGTGTGTGTGTGTGTGTGTGTGTGTGTGTGTGTGTGTCCCCTCTGTGATGCAGGTTAGCAGTAATGGAAGTGCTGCGACAACAGATGGACAGACAGTGCAGACGACCGACAATCCACAGAACCCCCAACAGCAACAACAAGCGCCAAATGCCTGGCAGGTCATTAAAGGAGTGCTCTTTAGGTACAGACATACAATATATATTTTTAAGATAATTTTAAGTACAACAGTTATGGTCTTATTGAAAGGAGAGAGATTAACACACAATTTCTTCGGAGGCCATATTTCGCTGTGTATGCGCATTGTTAGAGTTTGAAGTGCCACAAAAGCAAAAAAAAAAAAAAAAAATGTCACGCCCGAGTCACTACTCTGCCTGGCATGTTTCTTTCGCAAAAAGCTTGTTTTCTCCACTATTTGCTTTTAAATGGGAGAATTGGTTGCATTTTGATTCCTCCCCCTCAAAAAAAAAAAAGAAAAAGAAAAAGCTAAACAATTGTGTTAAACCTTTAGATGCTCACTGACCTAAAGTCTCGCGAGATTTGTCAAACTAATTCTTTGTCGTATTTCAGTGTGCATATTTTGAATAACAAACAATGTGTCCCACCATTTCATATTTTTGTTGCCATGTCACTGTTTTGACTGCTGTTTTTAAAAGAATGGTCACAGTGAAAAGCAGTTAATCAGATAAGTGGGAGGCTTGTTTTACAACTCCGTGGTATACGCATGTCATTCGCCGTTGAAATGAAATGTCCCGAAAGCTTCTTGCTTGTAAACCCCTCCCACACCTATACAAAATCAAAATTTATTTAATATGAGCATTTATCGGTGAATTATTTTCTCTTGTGTTTCTCCAAGGTTTTATTTATGTTGAGAATTGCACTGCAGTCAAATGCCATTGTTTTCCCCACCACGGCTCCAAACACTATTAAATTATATTTCTCTAGGATTTTTATCATCTGGGCCATCAGTAGCTGGTTCCGTCGAGGCCCCTCCACTCCAGACCCCAACACGCCGGCCGGGGCACCCAGAGTACCCAGCAGGAACCTCTTCACCAAGGACACACTCATGGTATGATTATTACAATGTCTTTAGAAACATTCTCATCTAATTAGAAATTGAAACATTTAATTTTATATGCCCTTGTCATTTGTATTTGAACACCAAATTGTCAAAACAGTCCCCCTATGCCTCTAAACACCCTTATTTTTTCATTACGCCTGCAGGATATGTATGTGTACATCTCCCAGGAGGAGGTATTCACGGACTTCAACAACACAGATTCTCTCTTCTGGTTCCACCGGGACCTAGTCTACGGAGACTGGTCCACGGGGGAGAATGGGGATGGCTGCTATGAGCACTATAAGGAGATGGATATCCCTGAGGTGAAGACGACTGGATGCAGCGGTCGCAAAAAGATTTACGCAAAGCACTTTGGATTGATTTATATCCTGTGGTCTGCAACAACACAAACAATAATCGATAATCAACATCATGCACCTAGGATGTACGCGGTCATGAGCCTATGTTATGCAAACGACTGCATGCAGTAGTTAAGTTACTTAACACAAACCGTATGCAAATTAGGCTCATCGGGAGCAAAAGAAAGCATAGTAGCCTAAATAATGTGCTCGCAAAAACTAACCTGACAGCATGAGCAAATAAATGTTAGCAGTTGAAACAAACAGAAGTCACTAAAGTCACCTTTTGGCATTCATACACATTTATGGATGTTAAGGAATCCAGGCAATTTGTATTGGCACAGTAGACTACTTGGAGTATTTGTAGCTGTATCAGCGGATGGTTAAATGTAAGCGCTATTTGATGAACTGTGCGTCTCTGTTGACTTGTAGGCGGTGCAGCAGAACGGCTCCCTCTATATACACATCTACTTCACGAAAAGTGGGCTGCACCCAGACCCAAAGCGCAAAGGGCAGTATCGTAGACTGGCAACTGTTCATGCATCTCAAAGTAAGCCTGTGATGTCATCAGATTTGAAACAGTGCAATTTCTGTGGTTGCGGTGTTGCGTTAACTGGACCGTTTTGGCTTGTCAGTGCTGAACAAATTCAAGCGTAGGAAGTTCCTGAAGACCAAGAATCTACTTACAGGAGAGACAGAAGCAGATCCAGAGATGATCAAGGTGGGTCAGCGATTTACGACAGTGTTGGCGTCACAGCAGCAGCATCCTAACCCGAGTTTGTTCACAAGTCGGAAAAACGACCAATCATGCCTCAGTTTGAGAGCGTCACATGAGCTGTGATTGGTTGCGCCCCGCCCCCTGAGCGCATGTGATGACATTTTCACCTGACAGCAAGTGGGAAAAAATGGCTAAATACTTAACATCCATCCATCCATTTTCTGATCCGTTTTATCCTCACAAGGGTCGCGGGGCATGCCGGAGCCTATCCCAGCTGTCTTCGGGCAGTAGGCGGGGGACCCCCCAAACCGGTTGCCAGCCAGTCGCAGGGCACACACAGACGAACAACCATCCGTGCTCACACTCACAATCACACCGAGGGACAATTTAGAGCATTCAATCAGCCTGCCATGCATGTTTTTGGAATGTGGGAGGAAACTAGAGTACCCGGAGAAAACCCACACAGGCACAGGGAGAACATGCAAACTCCACACAGGAAGGCTGGAGCCGGGATCGAACCCTCGACCTATGCACTGTGAGGCAGAAGCGCTAACCACTGGTTCAACTGGGCCGTCTTGATCAATCATTATCTTTGTTTTTTTTTTTTTTTACCGCACTGCACACCATTTTAGCTTTTCAGGTTAAATCCTTTCGTAAGGAGTGGCTTGAACAAGATATCAAGCGCAGTAAATGTCAGCTGTTACATATTCAGTTATATTTCATACAAAAAAATAACTGGTACATGCAAACAAATAACTACACAGAAGTGATAATTTCCTCAAGGCTCAAATAATACAATATAAAGACACTTGATAGAAAATAATGATTTAAACTTCTATCATGAACATATGCCACTTCTCCCGACCCAAAAAGGCTTAATGTAGGAGCCTGCCGATTGTGCAAGCTGTTGTCAACAGGCGTAGACGTGATCGAGCCCGCTGTTTTTAGAAGAGGGTTTTGCGCTTTCGGTCGCTGTGGTCTTCACCATTGAAAATGTTCGAGCAGGTTTGCGCATTCTTGACATCGATGCATTTGTTTTCATCTTCTCTCAGCGGGCAGAGAGCCACGGTCCGGTGGAAATCATCTCTCACTGGCACCCCAACCTCACCATCAACATGGTGGATGACCACACAGCCTGGGTGAAAGGATCTGTCCCACCTCCGCTAGACCAACGTAAATTTCTCCTCTGCGATTTATTGTGAAATGTTTGAGGTGTATTGTTGATTACAGATGTATCGTGACATTCCTCTCCCCCTTCTTCCACCAGATGTGAAGTTTGATGCGGTTAGCGGTGACTACTACCCAATAGTGTACTTCAATGACTACTGGAACCTCCAGAAGGACTACTATCCCATCAATGATACCCTGACCACCCTGCCGCTACGCCTCAACTACTGCCCGCTGTCCTTGTGGCGCTGGCAACTCTACGCTGCCCAGAACGCTCGCTCGCTGTGGAACTTTCTGCCCGAGGACACCTACGAGCAGTCTGATGAGGATAAGGACTCTGTCAAGGTAGGGTCGACGAAATACTGCGGAACCTTAAATGTCCTCGGATTCTGGTCAACCTCATGTTGTTGTCAGATTGAAACATGTTTGCTATTTGACAACCGAAATGACTGCTTCAAGCTGCCAACATTATAGAAACATGAACTGAACGTTCTTTTAGTTGGGTCATTTGAACTCGTCATGTGTACATTAACTCATTCAGTACCAGCCAATTCTGGACCAAGTCTGCAAAGACGTTTAAAAACGTCTTTAGGAGTGAATGAGTTTTAAGTGTTTTCTGTGATTTTTTTTTGCTTAGTTTCCATAGTGTATGATCCTGATGGACCAATTTCCTGGTGCCATTATAATATAACACAACTGGACTGTAAGGTGGTCTGAAGCAGCCTAAACTCCAAGAACTCTTAAGGTTTAAGTTTTAAAAAAAATCTTTTTTAAAGGTGGCCTTACTGGAAACCAACCCGTACCTCCTGGGGCTCACTATCGCGGTCTCCATTGTGCATAGCATCTTCGAGTTTCTGGCCTTTAAGAATGGTAAATTCACAACAACAACGCTCACCATCTGTGTACTTTGACACGTCCTCATTGGACCTCACGGTTTTTCATCCACGCGTTCCTTCCCAAGACATCCAGTTCTGGAACAGCAGACAGTCTTTGGAAGGCCTCTCTGTGCGCTCCATTATCTTCGGCGTGTTCCAGTCTTTGGTGGTGCTGCTCTACATTCTCGACAACGAGACCAACTTTGTGGTGCAGGTCAGCGTCTTCATCAGCCTTCTTATCGACCTCTGGAAAATCACCAAGGTCATGGATGTCAAAGTAAGTCAAAACCACGCGGAAGTTGTTTTTTATTTTAAGAATGTTGATGTTCTCTATATCAAAACTTGTTTTGTCTTTCTATAGTTGGACAAAGAGAATAAAATTGCAGGAATCCTCCCAAGACTTGTGTTCAAAGACAAGTCCACATATGTGCAGTCTTCTACCAAAATCTATGACGACGTAAGTCAAGACCATTGCCGAATTAATTGAGACAATGTTTTTTTTTTTGTAATGTAATGATGCCGTGTGGTTGTTTGTGACCTGATCCCACTGCTTCTGTCCACAGATGGCCTTCAAGTACTTGTCGTGGCTGCTCTACCCCCTGTTTGGCTGCTATGCCGTTTACAGTTTATTGTATGTCGAGCACAAAGGCTGGTACTCATGGGTACTAAGCATGCTCTATGGCTTCTTGCTAACCTTTGGTGAGTAAGGTAACAATGCGTTTCAATGCTTTGCTATTTTTTTTAGCCACGGCTATTTATGAAATTTTGAAAATAGTTAAGTATTATTGTAGAACACGAATATTTATTGTATCTACTGTTTGGTACAGGCTTTTTCGAATGTCAGCAAAACTCGTGGCTGACAGTCGACTACTTATGAAAAGTAGTTGCGTAACCCCGCACATTGCGTCTTTCAGCTAAGTTGCTGGGTGTGCAGGGGGGCCTTAGGACCGTCACACGCACACTAATCGATGTGGCAGAACTCCCCTCAACACTTGGGCAGCGTGCGGCGGTCTGCCACAAGATTTCACGAGCGGCTGAGTCTTGGCCAGTGGTTTTGAGGCGATTCAAGATTTGAATTGCAGTTCCAATAATGTGGCGACGTGGAAAAAAAGGGGCCAATGAAAATGCACTTTTGCAGCTTTCTCACAAGCAAAAAACAAAACAAAACACATTTTCCGCGTTATAAGTGAACAAGACACATTTTTCCACCCCACCCTCCATTTTTTTAAATATACAACATATTGTACAAGGAGCCTCCGAATGTGATATGAGCTTGCGCAGTCCTTAATGCTAAATATCCCATTGTGCGGGTGTGAGTTGTCAGTTGTCATTTTTGCAACGGTTTCGTCCTAGTCGGATATGGAAGCATCGTGCTATATGCAGCGAGGCAAAGCAGCTTCCTTATTTATTTAATTTGAATTATGACCCTTACATGGCCAGATTCTTTTCCGTCTTAAGGGATTCATTTGGACCATTAATTGTTGCATGTCCAATTCCGTTGTTTCCGCGAATGGGGTGACTCCAAATAGCAGTCACACGTCTGCAGCAAACTGATGTGAAGTGTTTTATGTGCCTCACTCGCCCTTCCTCTTCCTGTCTCTCTCCCCCTCCCCTTCTCTCCCTTCATTTCAGGCTTCATCACAATGACGCCGCAGTTATTTATCAACTATAAAATGAAGTCAGTGGCCCACCTCCCATGGAGGATGCTCACATACAAAGCGCTGAATACGTTCATTGATGACTTGTTTGCATTTGTCATCAAGATGCCCATGATGTACAGGATAGGATGCCTCAGAGACGGTACATCTACTTTTAAATCATCATGAACTCAAAAGACCCTCTTTTTTTGGTACCGGTGGGCATACTGTCACTTTATTGTATTATGTCTCATGAATGCATGGCAATACCCACTAAAACTGCCTCTGTACACCATCCACTTTCTGTTCGTATTTTCACTACGACTGATACCGAGTTGTGTCATGGTAGACTTCTTTACTACAAATATGGCATCTGTAAGCCTACAGTTTATGGCTTTATTTTATACAGAGAGACATTTGAACACTGACCAGAAGATGAGGTTAGATTGGAAAGAAAAGAAAAATGATTTGGAGTCCGCTAATAAGAAGAGAGCACGTCGTGCTTGTGGGGGAAAAAGAAAGTTGCTGAGGAGTCAGAGTGGATTTATTGCATGCATGACAAGAACAGGACGGTGTTCAAAAACATAAATTATAAAATATAAAAAGATGCCCGTTGCACTCAATTACATCAATGTCACTGGCCACGACATGTGAAAATTTTGTAACGTGCGTGTCTTCTTTTGCAGATGTTGTCTTTTTCGTCTACCTGTACCAGCGCTGGATTTATCGAGTGGACCCCAACAGGGTCAACGAGTACGGCACCAGCGGAGTGGACCACCAGCAGGATAACACAGCAGTAGCCGATGCCCCCGTGGCAGCCATCACAGAAAAACCAGACAGGGAGAAAAAGAATGAATAAGCCAGATGATGACACCCTGCCCCGTGTTTGGTCTCCCTGGCCCCTGGCGCCAGGGCAAAGAGGACTTGTGGAAATTAGGCAGATGGGGTTGGCTGTCACGGACATCGCTAAAAAAAAAAAAGAAAAAAAATGCAGTTCAACTGTTCCCTCCGATTCCTGTATGAATTGACAGAGAATCACCTTCATTGTAGACTTGGTAATTTTTAATTTTTCTTCCCCGCCCTCTCGTTTTTCAGTCCAAGTGAAGTAAAACAAAACGTGATGTACTGTATTCTGTTTGATTTGGGGAGGGTACAGTATCTTGGAAATGAGACGGACAGAGTTTGCGTTTAGACTTTTTTTGTATACATGGAAGAAAGAAGCCAAGTGAAATATTTCTTCTTTGTGTATATCCCATGTGAAGCTTTTATTTTCATTCCATGTGAGAATCAAGTTGTTGTTGGAGGAAAACTGGAAAATCTCCTCTGGAAAATGCCAACAGGATCTGAGCGACAAGACCGTGACTACAACCTTTAATTTTAAACAAATTGTTCATTGTCCAAACTGGATCAAAACAAGCAGCCTTGTTGGTATTAATATAAATATTGATATTGTCAATAAGTTTTGATTTTCCATGACTGACTCGTTCTTTTGGATGTCTCCAACGTGTGCAGAATTTCAGCTTGTTAATTAGTGCCAATGTTCAAAGTGTCTGGGAATATCTAATTAACAAATCTAATACCAATAACCCTGCCATGCACCCACAACACCCGGCTGGGTGTTTCATGTTAACACTCCAAAAGAAATTCACATGCACGCACAATTGCTGTCCCTTGTTTTCATTGTGAGGGCTGTGCATCTTGCGTAAAAGGTTCCATGTTGCTACATTATTGAATTTTGAGCGTTCATGTTTATAGTAAAACTTCTGTGATTGAAAATGTCTACATTAAGACCTTTATTTTCTCAACTCACAGAGCAACAAGAATATTTTGTTGACAGTTGGTATTCGAGTACAAAAATGTTTTGAGTGCTCAATTTGTAATTTTTATTTAATCTTATGTGCACATTTTGTCTCAAGGGTCCCTGGTAGTTCATTTTATGTCCTTTTTTTGTCGGCTTACTCCCAGTTTCCCTGACTTTAAAGGTCTTGTAAAGGGTGTAAAACAATGGATGAATATTTGTATCAATAGGTGGCCTTTCTCTCTTATCTTTCTAATTTACTGCTTAACATTGCCGGAGTATATTTTTCTTGAGAAAACAACTTTTACTTGACTTTAATATCCACACTCTCAGTTAACTATGGCTGTTTCTGACCTTCTTTTACACCAATAGTCAATCTGCATGATTCAGTTGTTACACTGTAGTAGTAATCCAACCAGCTCTTCCTGTAAACGGGATAGTTAATTTAATTGGACTCGGTTGTACATAAAGCCTTCCTTTCACTTTCAATTTCCTCTAAAAGTGCTGCTACCACTAAATCAACCTGCAGATGTCGCTCCCTAATCATAGTGTGGGAATATTTGTTATAGTATAACATTTCACTTAAAACTCCCTGAGTTTAATTTGTGTGCGCGCATGTGTGTGTGTATGTAATCCATGTCACACAATACAGAAACGTGATTTTTTTTGTCGGTATAACTTTGTCTTCCGTGTAACGTTTTAGAATATAGTAATACTTGTGTATCAACATATATACTACGATGTTCCATAAATCCATGTTAGGCATCACGAGGAAAAGAAGAAAAGTGCGCTCCAACCGCAGGTAAAGCCTCCTATTTTTCTAAACATTCCTTGGTTTCAGTCACACTTGGAGTGCATCACTGAAACCAACAAATATATGAAGGGTAAAAGTGAATGTGGAGGGAGAACGTCATTTAAGGTTAATTCGCCTTTTTAACGACATTTTGTCACCATGGAAACGTTTTACTGTAGTCGTCGTTGGTTTATGGCTCCCGCCATCCTTTCGACTCAGGCTGTCGAATAGTTGGACGACGAGCCAAGTGACGTTTGGGGATTTCCAGTGCAGCGAGCAGCCAATCGGCGGCCAGCTGCCGCGGAAACGCCGAAAGTGCTGCAAACGGACTACTTCGTCGCTGTGCTATGCATCCCATGGCTTTGGAGGTGTTTGTCGACACCTGAACACCCTTTGAATCGTACGGTGGAGGACTAAAGTCCCTTTATTGAGATTAAAACCACCAATAGCGACTGTTTTGATGTCCTCCGCGCTTCGAGACATGGACGTTTTTCGCTGCACTCCCGGTAGGTGTCCTTCCTAACTGTAATGTTTGTGTATGGATGAGAGATGATGACATCATTGCCATATGATGTCTTAATATCTTTTTTTTTTTACCTCTTCTCGGTGCGTAACGCCTATTGTCAACAGTCGAACAAGTTTTACTGTATTTTCTCTTGTTCATCGATTGTTTACTTTCTGTTTGTCCGACAGAGAGAGGATTGTCCGACTTTGGTGAGTAAAAGACTGCATCTGCTCCCTGTTTCTGAGAGATGAAAGTCGGCTGTCACCTCATCTGACCTGATGCTAAACTTCAACCAGTGGTTCTCAAACTTTTTACAACCTGCAATACTTAAAAAAAAAAACATAGATGTCAAAGTGCTTCAACTCAAATCTTCTTTCCCTAATTGAAATGAATCCCTACCACCCCCCAAAAAAACCCCACAATCATTTTGCAAGGTTTATTTTTCTTGAAAAATAAATTAATAAAATAAAATTAATTAATTACACTCTGTGGTATAATATAGTCTAAAACCATACAATAATAACAATTCAATACCATGTTTAAAGTTTTTAACAGCTTTTGTATCTGTTTTTAACAGATTTTGTATTTGTAAATTCCATTTCCGTTGTGCTCAGGGATGTCCTGGGAACAAAATTCGTCTCTGTTATATCGATCACAGATTTGGTCAAAACATGGAACAATATATCTACAACTAAATTACTCATTTGGACCACCTGCCCCCAAATTCTTCTAAAAAGCTATTATCAACATTAAATACAACACGTAATGTTTACGTACATGTTTACAACATCTCCTCTCTGACATTATTAAAAAATAATTACAAAATGAATGAACATCGCCTGTCATTCAGGTGGATGGGTTTTTCCTAAAACTATTTGCTATTTTGGTTTAAACAGCTGTGAACAAGCCCATACACTCACTTAGCAGCAACGACAAACAGCCTACGCCTGCTCCATTTTGGCTTGCATTGGAAGCTGGCTGTATTGTACACGTCCCGATGCCCACAGCCCTGCAATTTTGTCCCACATTGTTTTGTTTGTTTTACCTGGCACGTAGTCAGCAGATTCTCAAAGCCGTTTTGGTGTAACTGTACAGATTCGCCCATTTCTACGTCAACTGTTTTGTTGTCATTTGTAATGGCGTCACGAGAATAGCTTAACTTACATTCAGTATGACTGCAGTAAACCTCATATTCTCGTTTTGCATAAGTCTAGCGCGTCTGTCAACAACTGAGCTATTTCCGTGTTTCTTCAAACAACGTACCTGCCTGCTTGGTTGCATCTGTGATCGTGCATGGATGGAAGTTCACGTATGGTGAAAGCCATTTTGAATTAAAGAGATGTTAAAATTAAATAAATTGCAAAAAATACTGTAGCAAGTGATTTTAGCTAGCCATCATCTGACGCGTCTCCTCCCAGGTACTAAGAAACTACTTGATGTCTTCTGCCGCAGACCTCATCCAGGAGATCATTACAGAGGACCACACAGGCATATCCCTCCCCAGACCGCTGCCTCCTCCTGCTGAGCTGCGCGGCCAAAACCACAGGATGCACCGGCTTTGTTCCGCCGCCGCCTCTTCCTCCTCGCCATCATCTCAGCCAGTGCTGGTGGCGAGAGGCACCACGTGTCAGGTACCGGTAGGTATTTAAATTGGGATTGCTTGCACAGTGGGCGGGGAAAGATTGCTTGTTGGAGCCCGGGGTCCAGAAGCCATTCGCTTTCCTAATATTAAAGCAACCTGATGTATTGTGTGACAGTACCTTGAATGCGGGGAGGGAGTTGTATTAATAATACAGCTCATGACATCATGTGATCAAAATGGCATATTTTTGGCTTTCATCTCGATAATGAATGATGCATATTATTGGAAAATGAATCAAATCTACTTTCAGACTGTGTGACATGACAGTGCGCATTCATGCCATAGTGCTGCTTGGGGTTGAGCAAAGAAAAGGCCTTTTCATCCAAGTCCGGAGCATAATCCTGTGATTAATGGTTGTAACGGTTTCGATCCTTTCCGTTCAAACTTAAGAGTCGACACGTCACGTCACATCAAATGCCTTGGCGTTTGACCTGACTTTAAATGTGGATGAAATGGAATTAGTTTAGAAAAGTTGACATTGTGGTACACAGAATGCAGTGGAACCTCTTCAAGTTGGACGGTTAGAATTGTCACCCAAAATTACGGTACTGGGTCGGGACAACTGTAAAAGTGATGAAAAGGTTACTTCAATGTTGCCCGTTAGACACAGCGGCCCTGGAACAGAATACATATCCGTTATTTGTCGAGGTAAGAATTGTTTCCAAATCAGAACAAATTTGCAGTCAAGCACTATCCTTGAATGGATTGTGGTGCGCTTTTAAAGTTTTATTGCATTTGACTTTGAGCCAAGCCCATGAGTCGCAGCGGTTCCCAACCTTTGTGCCTTGACACACTTAATGTGCGCTGACAGATCATCAGGCATGCCTTGGGAGGTAATCCAATTTCATTTCATGTGTCAGACAATTATCTTTTCTTAATTTCAAATAGATCTTCATCCATCTTTCAATGCCAGTGGCGAATAGTGACAGGAAGAAAAAAAAAAAGACATGGTCAGAAGGTACAACGAACCTGTTGCCATTCATATAACATACTCATTTTTCCACGTATATCAGCTTTGTGATCAGTTAAACCACAGGTGTCAAACTCAAGGCACGGGGGCCAAATCCGGCCCGCCAGGTCATTTTATGTGGCCCGCAAAAGCAAATTCAACTGTATCAACTTGCTAAAATCTGTACAAAATTGTGAAATTGTCATGTGTAATAAATAATGTTGAGATTTTGCAATACTTTTGTTATCCAGTTTACACTCACTTGAACAATAATTGAACAAACTATTATAATTGACTGATTTCAAAACTAGTAATCTATTAATTTGTTGTGTACAAGTAATCATTTTGTGGTTTCACGGCCCTCCGAGGGAAGACTCCAAATTGGCCCGCGACTAAAATGAGTTTGACACCCCTGAGTAAAGATAAGATAAGATAAGAAAACCTTTATTTGTCTCGCAATGGAGAAATTCCCAATTCAGAGCAGCAAAGTTATGAAAGGAAGAAGTAGAAGAACAAAATATAGGAGCTTCTGGAAAGGCAGCCACTCTCACGGCGCCTTAGTCCCAGATTCCACGATGACGAACTCCATTTCACCAGAACATCATCATCATTATTCCACTATTTATACTTTTTGTTTGGAGGTGCTCTGTGATATTTTTCGAAGGTAAAATGGATGCTTTGGCTTGATAAAAGATGGAGAAAAAAAATGCATGACTCTGGCAGAAATGTCCCAGTAACGACACTTCATCAGCAAGGCCAAACAGGACGAGGGCCAGTGCAAAAGTTGTTTGGGCTTATTGTTTTTGCCTTGGGGGAAATCATGTGACTTCATGTGGATGACACCACGGTTCGAAGCAGTCAGGCAGGTCTTACAGTAAACCATGTGGCTTAGCGAATAGGCTGCATCGGTGGGACAGTTTTAACTCTTGCCAAAGTTACGTCACAGCAACTAAACTCCGTGGAAGGAGTTGCGAATCCAACCCGTAACATGACTCCTACTTTCGGTTTTGCCCAACCTCCGCTGGCCAAGCCCACTCAAAAGGGGTGCAAGGTCACATTCTTGGCCGGGAGCGGCTCTTCCATTGGTCGTTACCGTGAGTCGACTTCCTATTTCCTCTCGGCTAACGCCGCTCAGCCCTTTTTTTTGTATACCGTTGTTTGGTTGAAGCTAAGCGCACGAGCAACAGGAGCATGTTATCCTCAGGCATGATCATGGCACGTTGAGAGGTAGGGTCTCCTTCTCCCACGGCCTGCTGGTTACTTACTGTCTGCAGCTTGTCTCGGTTTTCCCTGGAGGTTGGATCGTTTCAATGCTTACTGCATGATGTCATGTTAAGCGTACTGGTCGGTGGCTCGCTTGATTTTCGGTGTGTTTGACATCGTGTGGGGGAATGGAAATTCGTCTGGGATTCGGGATGATTGTTGACTCGGTTATTGTGGCTTCATTGTATTCCCATATGCTTGTCAGAGATATCAACTGTTAGATTTACGATTCAATTCAGGAGCTTTTTTTTTTTTTTTTTAACAGAGATAATCAGGCTCAGGCATGGTCCGGGATAAATGTTCCATTTTATTACGGTAGATCTAGTTTGGTAGAAAAGCACTCCATTGTGCTGGAAGCAGTTTGACCATCTCCTGCATCTATATAAGTTCATCAAAGTATCAAAAATGCCCCTCGGTGTGATAAGATAAGATAAGATAAGAAAACCTTTATTTGTCCCACACTGGGGAAATTTGCAATCTTCAGCAGCAGAAATGAAGGGGGGGGGGTTGGGGGAGAAAGAAAAACAAAGTATTGCATGCACAAAATAAATGTTCCAGAAAAAAGAACTGTACACAGTACAGAATGCAATATAAAATAAAATATAGATAAAATATTGATATGCAGTCAGCTATTGTGCATAACAGACTGGTCAGACATATATGCATGGAGTATTATTTTGAATGTAGTTTTCATGAGCAATCTTCATATCACCTACAGTAGTTGAATACAATTTTAATTTGGTTTGCCTTTAGTCCAGCTGCAGCTTCACACCCCCTCTGCAGCAGCTCTGCTCGCCCCGGGAAATGTCTCAACGTCCGCCTGCCCATCCTGCCGCCGGCTCGAACCGCCATGGTCGCGGCCTCCCATGCCCACGAACATCAAAAGCCCCCAGCAGCAGCAGCAGCGCCATCCCTTCTAAGAGCCGGTCAGGAGCAGAGATGCTGGAGCGCAATCTGGAGAAGCCCAAACTTGTGGTGGTAGAGCAGCCCAAAGAGCGAGGCATGAGGTTTCGCTATGAGTGCGAGGGACGCTCGGCCGGCAGCATCCTGGGGGCGTCCGGGAGTGAAAGCAACAAGACTCAACCGGCCATTGAGGTATGGAGGATGGAACAGTCGCCCGTACTAATTTCCACTCCTTTTGCATGTGAAACTGTTTTGTTTTTTTTTAACTCCTTTTTACCAGACCGTGTGACACCAAGTATGACAAAATGAAGCCGGAAGGTGAAGGACCAGTAAAGAAAAAAAAAGGGGGGGGTCGGTGTCATATGTATTCTCTTTTGACATTTGCATTGCAGTAGTTGAAGGCGCATGTTCATAAATTTAGTTTGCGTATTGACATAAATAAAAGAAAGTGTGACAGAAAACAGAAAGCGAGAAATTAGAACTGACCCCCCCCCCCCAAAAAAAAAAAAACAAAAAAAAAACAGGAAACCGGACAGGTACAGTCAACCCGGGAGTGCTCCCGGTGTGTGGTGAGAAAGCAAAGCAAAAATCTGCAGAAAGATTCGAAATAATTCTCATATAAAGTTCACATCACGCTCAGTCCCGCTGGAGCCAGCCTGTGTTTCTTTTCCAAGATGTATTTTTTTTTTTTAAATTCTTAATACACAGCAGTGAGTCTCCCCCACACTTACTTGACATTGTTTTCAGATTCAAGGTCCCATTGAGCACTTGAAGAAGGTCACAGTCACCGTTTCCTTGGTAACCAAAGATCCCCCACACCGGCCGCACCCCCACTGCCTCGTGGGAAAAGACTGCCCGAATGGATCAGGTATCTGCGTGGTGACGCTGAATCCTCACAGCAACCGACGCCACAGGTGCATCTTTTACTCTCCAGATATGTCGTCGTAGTCTCATTTGGAGCATGAATCCCTTATCGCCCCCCCATTTCCCTCTTTGAACATGCGTCCTTCAACGTTTGTTTTTGTTCGTTTGCTGTAATCTGGACAGCTTTGCCAACTTGGGAATCCAGTGTGTGAGGAGGAAAGAACTTGATGTCTCGCTGCAAAAGAGAAGAAAACAGAATATTGACCCATTTCTAAGTAAAATGGACTCACACACACACACACACACACACACACACACACACACACACACACACACACACAAACACACACCCACACACACACATTCATCTTGGTGTGCACACACACACACACACACACACACACACACACACACACACACACACACACACACACACACACACGCACACACACACCTATTTGTGCGTGTATAATGGCGTGTAATGGCGTTCCATTTATTTGGTCCCCTAGCTGGTCACTCCAAGGGCATCGAGGACATGGACATGAACGCCGTGCGTCTGTGTTTCCAGTGCGAGTTGGAGTGGGAGGACGGCACAACGGACAGTCTGAGCCCCGTGGTGTCCAACCCCATCTTTGACAAGAGTAGGCAACACACGCAAAACGACAACAACGTGTGGTTTATCCTCCGCCACGGAGTTGGAGTCGCGCTAAAAACGATCCTCTTCAAACTTTACGGGGTGAAACCTAAGTAGATATTGAGTGACATCCAACCCAAAATGGCAAAGATAACTGAGAGCGGTGCCAATGGTCAAATCAAATGAGTCCTTTTTTTTTCACCAGTAATCATTTTCTCCTTTCGTCCCCGGAATGATTTCTTTTACCCTCAGATTTTGTATTCTTTCTATTCTTGTATTCTTTATTTCATCCACGTACACCATGAATGGCTGCACACATGATTCTTTTACATTTTGAGCCTTCAGGATGAGAAACCTGATCATTGATTTGATTGTTCTCCAATCAAGTTGTTTGACAGAGGTGATCACGATCCCAAACACGAGCAATGACAAAAAACAAACAAAACCAACTACATAAACCTCATGGACTATGACAATATGAACTATAACAACGTGGACAACGGCATGAACAACTACACGAACAATGACACCAAGAGGAATTACAGTACAGGAATTACAGCATGAACAACTACACAAACAACTTGCTTAACATGACATTGTAAATGAATAATCAACAATTATGTATTTGAACAATGTTGCAGTCAATATGATTTATGTGAACAATTCTGAAACAAAGCGTTTGACGTTCCTTCTTTTGTAGGGACGGTAAAAATGCCAAAAAAAAAAAAAAAAAGTACCTCGAAGGCTCATGTATGAAATCACTTTAGATGATCCCGACAAGTATATTTTCATGAGCTAATTTTATCAAAACATAGTTTTGTTTAGTTTTATAAACACAGATTGTAGTATTTTTATTTGTTTGTATATCTTATTTGTTGTTTTTTTTTTTTAAAAAGCATTTTTGTTTTTACATGCTTTTTCAATTTTCCTCGTCAGAAGCGACCACGACGTCCCAGTTAAAAATTAGCCAGCTGAACCAGTACACGGGGGCCTGCACTGGCAAGACGGAGATCTACATGCTGTGTGACAAAGTGCAAAAAGGTATGGCCGTGTCATCCGCTCGCCGAAAAATAGGCTCAACCACCACGACGACTGGCTTTTTACCGCGTACAGACGACGTCGAGATCATCTTCCGGCGCGGCTCGTGGAAGGCCAACGGCGAGTTTGCCCAGACGGACGTCCACCGGCAGATCGCTATCGTGTTCAAAACGCCTCCCTACCAAGACCAGGACATCACAGAGGAAGTGGACGTCAGCGTCACCCTGCGCCGGCTCTCCGACCAGATGGAGAGCGAGCCGGTCACCTTCACGTACCTGCCGTACAATCCCGGTCAGCGATGGGTTGACGATTCACACAGTCAAAAAAGCGGGGCGCCAACGACTTGCATCGGTCACATACCAAAAGAACTCGACACACAGATGAACATGATTCATCATAAAACATCGCAACGACTCTTAACGCCAAAGTAACTGTTCAAAACCAGTACATGAAAGCGAAAAAGACTTGACGGCCTCCGGTCTCGCAGCCGTGCAGCAAATGCAAACCCGAATGGACCTATCTTAACGTAATGCTTATGGTTTTGTCATGCTGAAGTAATTCATTGAAAAACCAATTCATAAAGCGTGACAGCAAAACAAAAACAGAAAACCCAGTACCATACAGTCTCACAGCCAGGCAAGTGCAACCCCCCCCCCCAAAAAAACCTGATTTGACAAATTATACTATTGTAAGATGGAAATAACAAATCATAGCACGGTTTCAAGGCCGTGCAACAAGTGCAAACCTGACTGCACACATCTTAACACAATGTGCATACTATTGTAACAGGGAAATTCAAAACCAGTTAATTATCGTGAGAAAAAAATTAAACATTATCTTACAGCCGTGCAGCTAACTTAAACTTAAACCAGCACAAATGAACTAAATTGTAACCCAGAAATAACAATTCAAAACAGTTCATGAAATATACAACAAACCAAAAAAAACCCCGCAAAACAGGACAACTGGGAATGCCGCAAGTGGGAACACGATGAGAAACTTCATAAGTTGATGCTTATACTGTTGGAACATGGACGTAACCATTCAAATTCGTCGTAAAAACATGCGACAAATAAAACAAACCCCAAAAAAAAGAAAGAATGGTTTCACTGCTGTTTCACATCGTAATGCACTGCCTTGGCCTTTGCAACATGGAAATTACACCTCTCTGTAATTACCCCCCCTCGCCCCCTTCACAAACATCATCGCGTTTAACTTTTATTTCAATACGAGCATTGTGTACAGATAACCCCCTTCACACTGGCTGCAACTGACCTTTTTTTTTTCTTGTGACCTTTTCCACTGTCAGATCCGTATCAGGTGAAGCGCAAGCGAAAGATCAAGGCAGACATGAGCTTCCAAGAGAAAACCGATGTCGCGGGTGAGCAGCACGGCTTCTTCGCCACCGTTTTGACCCCCACGGCTTTCCCCGCTGTCTACTCGGGCTCACACTGTCTTTAGAATGCAATTTTCAAACACAAAGGCTGCAATTTTATTTTAGTGGCCCGGAAGACTCTGATTCTCTCTCTCTCTCTCTCTCTCTCTCTC